AAGTGCCATGGCAGTGAACTCCTAGTCCATTCTTGGGGTAGCAATGCCCTTCTCTTTCCTTTCTTGGGGCACTAAGGATGCAGAATACATTTGTGTCTGGGGTGGCATCCCAATAAGCAAGTAGTAAGAGGCAGGTGCTAGGATCTCAGGCAGGTTCCAGCAAGGCAAGTGAAGGGGGTGGCCAATCACTGAGGTGGGCTGCACACTGATAGGGGGAGAGCTTTCCTACTCCCCCTCACTGAGAGACCCTTCCAAGGAAGAGAGAGGGGGGAATAGCAGCAAAGAGAGGAGGAAAGTTTGCCCCCAAATAGGGCAGGACCAACAGGGGCAAGTCAGGATTTAGATAAAACTTCTAGAAGCTCTTCTGACAACTGTTGCAGGTGAAACAGCTGGAAGGGAGGAGGAGGAATCTGTGCTTTCTCAAACATCTGAAGAGCTGGAGACAGTCTTGGAAACAGCTCCTTCATCCGTCAGTCACAACAAGTGCCAGCTTAGGTCTATGGAGGACTGTGGATGCCGTTCATGAGGCCCACAGGTAGGGGACAGGCTGCAGGAACATGCTCGAAACTGAAGTGCTTATTTACAAGTCTGGGTTAAATCCGCCTAAGTGTGGGCTCCAGTGATCCTAGCATCTGGAGTTGGCTCCTCAGCTAAGCGGCCTCAAAGAGAAGGCTCTGCCTCTGTGCATGGCAGGAAGTTGGACTTTTGGGGCACTCTGCTCCACCTGTGACAAGGAAGTGCATAGCAGGAGCTCTTGACGCTGTCCTATGCTGTCTCCATCCTGGCTAAGCCATGCCAAGATCTGTTGTGTCGGCTTTACCCATACCATAAATGCTTGTCTGACCCTTAGTGCAAATGGGGTTGAGAGAGTGCTAGTCTGAGGCCACGGCCACAAATGGCAGGACCCTGAGGTTGGGTGGGAGTTTCATCAGTCCAGGCAAATGTTCCCTGAAGGCCAGGGAGGGTGGGAATCGTCGGTGGAGCAGAGTGTCCCTTAAAGCTTCTCGCAAAGCTCCAAGAGGACAGGGACATTACCTGGTGTGTCCACTAGGGCACACCAGCAGCTGGTACAGAGCCTGGTACACAGCAGGCATCCAATACAGACTTGAATGTCAATGCTGGAAGAATCCTCAGGGAGACCCAGTCTAGCATTTCCCCTAGTGAGTGACTTGGGAAGAGCTCTGTGCTGAATCACCTGATTGGAGACTGACAACAGACATAAACATGTTAATGGGTCTGAGTCATCCTGAGTTAAAGAAACTTGTTTTCCTGGTGTTTCCCTAACCTATTTACCCACAGAAGTTCTTCAGGAATTGCTTATTCACATCTCACCTGGGGAATAGAGTTTTGGAAACACTGAGCTAGCTTAACCTCATCATTCTACAAAAGATTTAATAGGGGCCCAGAGAAAGTGAGCAACTTGTCTAAATCACACAGAATACTGGTGGTTGAGTTGGGACAGTGTCATTAGGTATTTGTATTCTCCTAATTCTTCAGACCAAAAAACCAAAATCAAATCAGTTGCCCTCGAGTCTGTTCTGACTCATGGCGACCCCACATTTCAGAATAGAACTGCATTTCATAGGGTTTCAATGGCTGCTGTCTTTTAGAAGGAGATCAACTGGGCCTTTCTTCTGAGGTGACGGGGTGGATTTGAATCACCAACCAGTTGTTAGTAGCCAAGCACTTAATTGTTCATATCACCTATTGCTAGGTACTGTCAAGTCAATTTTGGACTACAGTGACCCCATGGGACAGACTAGAACTGCCCTCTAGAGTTTTCCAGGCTGTAATCTTTATGGAAGCAGATTGCCAGGTCCTTCTCTCGCAGAGCTGCTGGGTGAGTTCAAACTGCCACCTTTTCAGTTAGCAGCCAATCTCTTAATTCTTGTGCTGCCAGGGCTCTTTCTACACCATCTTTGTTGTTTGTTGTTATGTGCTGTGAAGTCAGACCAACTCTACACCATCTGTTGTTGTTGTTGTTGTTATGTGCCGTCGAGTCGTCCCCGACTCATGGCGACCCCTCCTTGGGTTTCCGAGGCAGTATCACTACGGAAGTAGGATTGCCCAACCTTCCTTCCGAGGAGTGGCTGGTGGGTTTGAACCGCCAGCCTTCTGGTTAGCAGTCAAGTGCTTTAGCCACTATGCTACCAGAGCTACACCATCTAGGGACTCCCAATTCTTCAGACAATGCAGGGCATAAACATCCTTTGGATGCTCTAGAAAGCAAAGGCTGGTTTAACAAATCAATCCAAATTAAACCAGATAGCAGGGGCAATATTTCACCTCCTTGAGAGCTGTTGGAACCACTTTAGTGTCAATGCATATGTTAATTACCTACAGTTCTCATCTTTTTCTTAAAGTTAGTCCCTTAGGTCCTCTGCTTGATAATCCTGGTAGTAGGTTCTCCAGGTTGCGTGTCATTTCAACACCACTGAAGTTCTTCAATAACAATCTCTCTTGTCCAGACATTTCCCCATAGCCCTTGGGTTGTTTGAAATCAATGAGGACTTGTTCCTCTGCACTTTAGGGTGCTGGGCAGTGGAGCCATGAATGGAGAGAGCAGCAAGACTCGTTGCAGACCTCATGCTGCAGGGTCTGAGGAGCTTCCCCTGAGAAAGGGGTGGCTGGGTGCCCCCGGCTGAGTTTCTTTGCAATTCCTTCCCAGCATTTCTGCAGCACCATCAGCCCAGCTGTTCCTGCTAGTTCCACGCTGCTCAGGTGCCGGGTCGTTGTCTGCAGTGAGGCCTGGAGACCCAGAATCCAGGTTCATGGGGCGCTGGGCAGCCCAGTCCAAATCAGTCCCGATAGAGGAGGAGAGAGCACAAGTGACAGGCTCAAGATCACACAGAGAACTAGAGCCAATCCGTTTTCACTGACGGGGAGCATCTCTGAGACAGAGAATCACAGAATGTCAGGGTAGGAGGAAGGCTCTCAGCTTCAGGGCACTCTGAGAGGGGAAGCAGCTTACCCAAACTCCAGCCAGGGCTGACCCTTGAATTCAGGTATTCAGACGTCAGCCTGATGACTTTTCCATTAAAGGTGGGCCAAGAAGTGGATGCCACCCCCTCCATCCTTACCCTGAAGCTGGGCTGCTGGCTGCATGGCTATACAAGCGTTATTGGAGGAGGGGCTTGGTGAGGGAGATGTCAAGGCTTTCCGCACACCTGAACTAGTGGCTTCAAGCAAGGGAGTCCAGAGCCCCTTTCCCGTGCCTTGGCACTGACTCTGAGGCAGCACCCCAGACTGGAGCCCTGCCCCGCCTGGGGCCCCTGTGGTGTCAGTGACTGCTGGGTGGGGTTCCTCCCAAGAGGACAGGTCTAAAGTAGAGTCAGTCAGAGAGGCAGCAGAAGGGATTTTATCTTAAGTCCTCCCTTTGGGGATCACCAGGTGTTTGTGAAAGCCTCAGAAGTGCTTGCTGTGTAGTGGGAGCCCCTTTGCAGCACTGCATGAGGGCAGGGAAAGGACTGGGCGAGGGCTGGGTGGGGTGGGGTGGGGAGAGTACCACATCCGGTGAGCGCTGCCTCTTCTCCTTTCATACCTGTGGGTATTTTCCTGGAGCCCACCTCCTTCTTGACCCCTGCTGAAGACTGGAGCATTTCTTGAATCTTCATGTGGCTGGGGCTTGTGTCCCCTGAAGAGGGAGTTCTTTGGGGGCTTCATGCCAGGGCTCTGGAGCCTCAGTGGATCCCTTCTGGGATAGCAATTTGGTGAGGAGAGGCCTTGGGGAGAGGGGTGTATGGGGTGTATGGATTCAGCCTGGGTGCTTGAGGTGGTGGTGTTCTCTGGTGAGATTCAGACCCCAGACAGAAGGGACTGGGCAGTTTGACACCAGGCAGTAGGGAATCAAAGGCTAGGGCATAGCTGTCACCACTCAGGTATTACATGGTGGCCCTGGGAGAAGAGAGCCCCCAGGGGCTCCCCACTTTGAAGCTTCAGGATTCATTCATTTCACCTAGCAAATTATGCTTCTTAGCTATAGCTGCCATCCCAAAATGCAGCCAAGAGTGTTTTCTGTTGTAAAGGCAGTCCTACTATCTCTCAACATGATGTGGCCAGACATGGCCACCACTATCCCAGAATGCAATTCACATGAGGTACCTCTCTAGCCACTCAGCACAACTGAATGGAGTTTAATTTACCCAATTCCTGAAAGCGTGCAAATTATTAAAAATCTTATCTGGTTTCTTCACTGACTTCTGTGACCATGTCTGGTCTTTTTAGATCTGTTTTCTCCCAGACTGTAGCTTAAATCTAACACCTCAGCTTGCAGGGTGTCTCCCCTTGTTCTGCCCACCCCTTCTTTTTAGCTAGGAAGTAACATAATCTGCAAATCAATACTAAAGTAAATTAAAGGAGCTTCCCAGCCCCAAAGAAAGCCTCTGGGTGACTTCTTTTGTAAAGTTTTGAAAGGATGTTCTCTAATTGGTTTGTAAGTGGAATTTTGGGGTCCTGCACTGTCACTTTGGAGACAAGTGCCTATCCCACAATGCAATGGACAAAGGTGGTCTCTTTGGGCCTAGAGGCAGGCTTGTTGGTGTGGTTACTTGCAGTTGTTAGATAACCATCTCCCCATTTTTTGAGGGGGACATTGCTATTTCTACTCTATGTCACCTGGTTCACCTCCAGAGAGAATTGAGGTTTCACTTGTATTCTCTCTTCCTCCCCCCCACCCCATTGCAGTAACTCCCAGGACTTCAGAAACATAAAAATCCTAAACGTTAAGGAACCTTTAAATCATCTAGTGATCTAGTCCAACTCTTTCATCTCACCTTCTCATTTTAAAGGCAGGGAAACTGAGTCCTAGACAGGGGGCAGAGACTGGCCTAAAGTTGCACAGTTGGATGGGGGCAAAGTTGGGCTTGAACTCAAGCCTCCTGACTGCCAGTCCAGGGCTCTTTCTAGTAACCAGTATATTGGCTACAGCTTCAAAAGTTCCCTCCACCCGGTCCAAACAACCCTTCCATGCTGCCCCAACCCTGACCTCCCCTTTGCCCCCACTACACATAATTTGGGTTATAGCAGAGCATGTTGAACTCGAGGTTCTCGTCCCAGTGCCTCAGGAGCACGAAGAGCTGGCGGGCAGCGGCCTTCAGCATGCTCTGTGTGCGGCCCTCAGGTACCTTCTGCTGCTCCAACCACGAACTGGCCTTGGCGGCCACCAGCTCCCACTCAATAAAGTAGGCAGCAGAGCTGTGCTCCAGCCATGCTAGTGCCACCACTGTGGCCCACAGCTTCCCCATGTGCTCCACTACGACCCTTGCCTCCAAGTCTGGCTTGCCATCAGTTGGGGGCTCTGGGGAGAAGCTGTCACAGGTGGGGTACTGTGGTGAGGGTCTGGTGCACAGCTGGAGAGTTGGGGTCTTTGACTCGGGCTGGCGGGCAGTGAGGGACACTCGGTGGCAGGTGAAGGGCGAAGTCCACTTAAGCTTCTCCATGGGGATGTGGGTGGCCTCACAGAAGGCATGGTTGAGCAGGAATGCTCCTGAGGCCAGCTGCAGAGACACCTGTGTGTAGGGGAGCCCCTCAGTGGCCCTCAAACGTTTTCATTCTTAGATCCCCAGTCCATGCAAAACTCTAGTTCTACATCTCTCCCCACTCCCAGGGGGTATGTGGGATTCCAGGCTAAGCACCACCTGAGTATCACCTTTCTCCACCCCACAGGCACTTTGTAGTCATCGCTGTCCAAGTCCAACTCAACATCTTCACTTCAAACCTGTCTAACATTGCGAATGGACCTAGCTGGGCCATAGGACTGTCCACTGCTATCCAGTGGACTCTGGGCAGCCCATCCCCTCTCCTTGCCCCTACACTAGTCAGTTCCCATTAGCTCTACTTTCTAAAGAGCGCTGGAACCCATCACCTGCCTCATGCTCTCCTGGCCTGTACTTTACCTCTTTTGCCCAACATACCTTTCCTGCAGCCATTAAGCATTGACTCCATTGCTCTTTGACTTAAATCAGTTCAATGGCTTCTTTTTGTCTCTTGAAATAAGTTTAAAATATGACTCACAGAGCTCTGCAATGATCTGGCCTTGCTTTGTCCTTATCACTTATCCCCTCAAATTCCATTCTCCAGCTAACCAAGCACTCTCTTTCCTCTCTCTCATCCCTCAGGTCTTGGCTCAACCATTACCTCCTTCAAGAATTTATGCTTGATCCCTTCCCCACCTCAAGCTTGGCTTAGATGTCTTCCTCTCCTATTTTCCCTCACCAACTGACCTGTCCTACACAGCTCCCAGGGATAATAATGGCCTGGTTCTTTGTCTGTGTTCCCACTAGATGCTTGGTGCCATGAGGGCAGGGACTGTATCAAGTTCAAGATGGTCTCCCTAGGGTCTGGCACTGTGTCTGACACAGTAAATACTTGTGGAGTGGATGGATGTGGAGTGCTCTATTGCCTCAGAAATTTGGAGACTTAAGTGACACCATGTACTGTGTATGCAGGGACAGAGCTGCACAGAGAAGCTCAAACTGTGTCCCTCTTCCAAGAACCTCTGGGCCCAAGCCTGTTGGGCTCTAGGCATGGCAGGGCAAGGTTCTCCTGCTCTTCAGTTGAGAGAAGCCCTCTCTAGACCTGGCTTCTTGCCCTGCCACAGAGGGATGGGGCATCTGCAGTGACACTTGCTAAACATGGAGCATGTCCCTGGGGTGTTAATTTTACTCACTTGTGAGTCATTTCAAGGCTTATTTTTATATATTGAAAAACAGACACATAGATAGATGGTAGAGTAGAATGCAAAATTCCCCTGAATTTTTAAAGTGAAGACAGCATATTGCAGATAATTTTTGTGATGCTGGCATTGGCTTCTAGCAATATCCTTAGACCCCTGGGGGTTGGAGACCCCCTGCAAACTCTCTCTGCCCTGCTGGCTGCTTGAATGGAAAGGTCTAGGAAGCTCCAGTTCCAAGGGGACTTGAGCTGTAAAACCAAAGTCTTCCTTCCTTTGGGCAGGAGGAGAAGTGGGTGGAGGGGTCCAGGAGGCCCCACTGCTACATGTTGGGGATGAGGTCTGGCATCTGGGCTACTCACCAGGGGCACATAGTCAAGGTTCTGGTTCCCCGAAGGTGACTCTGGAGTCTTGCTCAGTGGCTTGCCCAGGAAGCCCTTGGCTGCTCGCATCAGCAGCCTGGACTTGTTGAGACTCAGTCTGTGTGAGGGGAGGTGGAGAGGTCACAGCTGCCATGGGGTGGTGGTGGTGGTGGTGGTGGTGGTGTCCCCAGTCATCCCACCACTAGTACCCACCCAGCAGCCTCTGAAAGTGAGGGCCAGAAAGGATCCAATAGATGGCTTCCTCCAACCTCTGCATTTGACAGCTGGGGAGACTGAGGTCTGGAGTGAAGCGGAGGCATTTTCCAAAAGTAACCCAGTGAGCTAGCAGCTGAGCCAGGACCCATGCTAATGTTCTTTGTATGACCTCTTTCTCTCGCTCTCTCTTTTAATTGTTGTAAAATATATATGTAACATGACATTTGCTTATTTACATTTTTCAAATGTATACTTTAGTGATGTCAAGTATACTATGTGCAATCATTTATGATCCTCTTTTGATACTGTCTTCTTGTTCAGCCCAGTGGTCAGAGAGTCCCATGCCTGCCCTCTAAGGGTATCTGCATGTGAAAAGAGACCACGGAAGTAAAGTAGATGAACTACAGTCTGGGACTGTTAGGCAGTGTGATACCTGGGAGACGGTGATATCTCTGGGTAGGGAGGCCTGCTTGGCACCCTTCAAACTGCACTTTATTGCTTATTTTGTCTAAACGTAAGGCTGGGCCTGCCTTCAGCTTTCAAGCCAGGAACATCCCCAAGGGAAATAGGTGGTATTGAGCACACCCTTTACTGGAAATCCCACTTACCTGGATCCAAAGAGAGTCTCGGGGGTCTTCACAGAAGAAAGGGTGGTGGTGGTCTGACTGTGCAGGGTACCTGGAGTCACAGAACGACAAGGTTGAGCCCTGACCAATGACTCTGTCCAACTGCTCATTGCCTGGCTGGGGAAATGTAGAGACCCACAGAGGGGCAAGGGCCTGCCTATGTCTGTATCCGTAGGGATCAGAGCTAACTATTAGGCTGCTGACCTAGCCGACACGAGGAGAGGAGGAATATGTAGACTCATATGTAAGAAACTGTCCTACAAGTCTCCTAGGCTGGTGGGCTCCTTGTGTCTTCTGGAAGGTAACCTGTAGGGGCCATGACTGTTTCATGTCAACCTCCCTCATCCCAAAATGGTGACATTAAGTTTACCTCCCTGGGATGCTGCTGTAGGATTCTGGGTAGAGTGCTTTGGTAGACTATTCCCTCAGCTAGGAATTGGGAGGCCTGATTCCAGACCCAGCTTTGTCACTGATTTGCTGTGTGACCTTTGACTCTTAGAGTCTCAGTTTCCTCTTAAACTAGGGATGATTCTATTTATCTCTTCCAGAGCTGTGGAAGTCCTGAGGACCTTGTAGGTGCTAAGGCCCTCTCCCAACCCAAGTCTCAATCAACATAACCATCTTCATTAAGAAAAGAGATGGCACTGGCTGCCCACTCACCTTCAGAAGCCATGTGCTTCTCACCACTGGGGCATGTAGTCTCAGAAACAGGCACAGTGGATCTCTCCTCCAGGTCTACAACAGAGGAAGCCAGTGAGCCCTCACCCCTCCCAGCCCTCCCTTCTCACCTCCCGACCCCCTAGGATGATGGCCCTGATTCACAGGCCCTGGGGGTAGGATGGGGCAGCAAAATCAGGGTTTCTTTCCCTGCTTGGATGGGCCTTCATTTTCCAAAGACATCACCACTGCCCAACTATAAGATTCAGGCGCTCCTGGGGTCAAATGCCAACTCCCCCATTGACTGGGTGTTGTTAGGTGCCTTTGAGTCGTAGTGACTCTATATACAACAGAATGAAATGCTGCCTGGTCCTGAACCATCCTCACAATTGTTATGTTTGTGTCCATTGTTGCAGGCACTATGTCAATCCACCTCATTGAGAGTCATCCTCTTTTTTGCTGACCAAGTATGATGTTCTTCTCCAGGGGCTGGTCCCTCCTCATAACATGTTCAAAGTATGTGAGATGAGGTCTCACCTTCCTCACTTCCAATGAGCATTTTGGATGTAATTCTTCCAAGACAGATTTGTTCTTTCTTCATTCAACATTCTTCACCAACACCATGATTCAAATGCATCAATTCTTTTTCAGTCTTTCCTTGTCCAGGTTTTGCACGCACATGAAACTACTGAAAATACCATGGTTTGGGTCAGGTGCACTTTAGTCCCTCAAAGTGACATCTTTGCTTTTGAACACTTTAAAGAGGTCGTCTGCAGCAGATTTTCTCAGTGCAACACATCATTTGATGTCTTGACTGCTGCTTCCATGGGTGTGCATTGTAGATCCAAGTAGAATGAAGTCCTTGACAACTGGAATCTTTTCTCCTTTATCATGATGTTGCTTATTGGTCCGGTTGTGAGGATTTTTTTTTTTTTTCCTTTGAGATGTAACTCATACTGAAGGCTATAGTCTTTGATCTTCATAAATAAGGGTTTCAAGTCCTCTTTGCTTTCAGCAAGCAAGGTTGTGTCATCTATATATCACGGGTTGTTAATGAGTCTTCCTGCAATCCTGATGCCACATTCTTCTTCATGTAATTCAGCTCCTTGGATTATTTGCTCAGCATACAGATTGAATAAGTGTGGTGAAAGATTACAACCCTGACCCACATCTTTCCTGATTTTCAACCATGCAGTATCCCCTTGTTCTGTTCAAATGACTGCCTCTTGGTCTATGGACAGGTTCCACAGGAGGACAATTAAGTGTTCTGGAATTCCCATTCTTTGCAATGTTGCAAATGCCTTTGCACAGTCAATAAAACAAGGTAAACATCTTTCTGGTATTCTCTGCTTTCAGCCAAGATCCATCTGATATCAGCAATGATATCCCTTGTTGCGTGGCCTCTTCTGAATCTGGCTTGAATTTCTGGTACCTTGTCTATGTACTGCTGCAACCATTTTTGAATTATCTTCAGGAAAACTTTACTCCTGCGTGATATTAGTGATATTGTTCAATAATTTCTGCATTCTATTGGATCATCTTATTTTGAAATGAGCACAAATATCTCTCTCTTCCGGTCAATTGCCAGATGGCTGTCTTCCAAATTTCTTGGCACAGACAAGTGAGAGCTTCCAGTGTTGCATCCATTTGTTGAAACGTCTCAGTTGGTATGTTGTCAGTTCCTGGAGGGTTGTTTTTTGTCAATGCCTTCAATGTAGCTTGGACTTCTTCAATACCGTTGGCTTTTGATCATATGTTATCTTCTAAAATGGATGAACATCAACCAATTCTTTTTGGTACAGCAACTCTGTGTATTCCTTCCACTTTTTTTTTTTTTTTTTAGCTGCTTCCTGCGTTGTTCAATTTTTTGTCTGTAGAATCCTTCAGCATTGCAAATTAAGGCTTAATTTTTTTCTTCAGTTCTTTCACCTTGAGAAATGTGAACTGTGTTCCTCCCTTTTGGTTTTCTAACTCCAGGTCTTTGCTAGTTTCATTCTAATACTTTATCTTGTCCTCTTGAGCCTCACTTTGAAATCATCTGTTCAGCTCTTGTATGTCATCATTTCTTCCTTTCACTTTAGCTACTCTACTTTCAAGAACAAGTTCCAGAGTCTCTTTTAACACCCATTTTAGTCTTTTCTTTCTTCCCTGCCCTTTTTAACGATTTTTTGCTTTCTTCATGTATGATGTCTTTGATGTCATTCCACAATTCCTCTGGTCTTTGGTCATTAGTATTCAGTGTGTGAAATTTACTCTTGAAATTGTCTCTAAATGCAAGTGGGATATACTCAAGGTTATACTTTAGCTCTCATGGACTTGTTTTAATTTTCTTCAGCTTCAACTTCAACATGCATAAGAGCAATTAATAGTCTGTTCTGCACTGACCCCTGGACTTGGTCTGACTGATGATATTAAGTTTCTCCACCATCTTTTTCCACAGATATAGTCTATTTGATTCCTGTGCATTCTATCCTGTGAGGTCCATATTTATTGTTGCCATTTATACTGTTGAAAAAAAGGTATTTGTAATGAATAAGTCATTGGTCATACAAAATCTATCCAGCATGATTTCTATGACCAAGGCCATATTTTCCAGCTACTGATATGTCTTTGTTTCCAACTTTCATATCTCAATCACCAGTAATTATTAATCCATCTTGATTGCATGCTTGATCAATTTCAGACTGCGAAGTTTGTAAAAATCTTCAGTTTCTTCATCTTTGGAATTAGTGGTTGGTGCATAAGTTTGAATAATAGTCAAATTAACTGGTCTTCCTTATAGGCTTATGGATATTATCCTATCACTGACAGTGTTGTATGTCAGGGATAGATATTAAAATGTTCTTTTTGATGATAAGTGTCATACATTCCTTTCCCAATTTGTCATTCCTTGCATAGTAAAAAAAAAGAAAACAAAAAAACACATTGCTGTCGAGTCGAATCTGACTCATAATGACCCCTCCTTGGGTTTCCAAGGTGGTATCACTACAGAAGTAGATTATCCAACCTTCCTTCCAAGGAGTGGCTGGTGGGTTTGAACCACCAGCCTTCTGGTTAGCAGTCAAATGCCTTAGGCACTATGCCACCAGAGCTCCTTCCATGCATAGTAGACCATATGATTATCTTATTAAAAATGGCTAATACAAGTCCATTTCAGGTCACTAATGCCTATGATATTGATCTTCATGCATTCCCATTGATGACTTCCAATTTTCCTAGCTGTGTAACCCTGGGAAAATTATTTCCTTTATCAGTTTTTATTGTAACTGCGGGTAATAGTGACTACCTCACTGACTTGTTGTTGAGGATTAAATGAGATAATACCAAGACAGAATTTAGTGTCTACCACATTGTAAGTGCGTAATAAAAGTAAGCAAAATCAAGGTCTTGAGTTACAGACCCAGCAGGGAAGGAGGAACAGGTCAAGGCCTGGGGGTGGGGTGGGGAGAAGAAGTGAGCACCTGGCACCAGCCTGGCCTCACTGAGGAGTGGGTCGCATGCCAAGTCTCCAGGGAGAGAAGGACCAGAACATGGCATTGGCTGGTGAGAGGGATTTGAGTTTCATCATCTATCAAATAGGTATAATAATCACACATGCTTCTTTCAAAATGCTTAATCAAGGTGATCATTTTTATAATTACTATTTGGAGCTCTGGTAGCATAGTGGATAAGACACTTGCCTGCTAACCAGAGGGCTGGCGGTTCAAACCCACCAGCCACTCCTCGGAAGGAAGGTTGGGCAATCCTACTTCTGTAGTAATACTGCCTCGGAAACCCAAGGAGGGGTCGCTATGAGTCAGGTTTGACTCGACGGCACATAACAACAACAACAACAACATTTCAAGGAAAAGAGAGCGATGAGTGATTTACCATAAAGTAATAATTAAATTATGGAAAAAGCTTCATGTACAAGTATGTTTGTATAAGCTTCTATCTTCCCCATGGGATCATTAGCTTTGTGGTGGCCAAGATGGAGCTCTGTTCATTGTTGAGTACTCAGGACCACACAAGACTGAACTAGTGACTGACTGGCTGTGGCTGAATGACTGAGGGAACCAGGAGGCAAATAGCATGGTGGTTAACCTTACAGGTTCTGGTGCCAGACACTGCCTGGGTTCAAGTGTTGGCTCTACTACATATTAGCTGTGTGATCTTAGATAAACCACTTAACCTCTCTGAGGCTCTTTCTTCATCTCCTTATGGGGATGGTAAAATAAGCTCCTTTGGATAGTTGTAAAGCAGCATCAATAATCAGAATAGACCCTCAGTGCCTGTTAGCCACTGGCATCCTTAAGGAGGGAAAAGGCTTGGGCTGGAATAAGAGTTTAGAAGTCAGAAACAATGGGGTGTGATTCAGAGGACAATTGAAAGGGAACAATTTGTGATTTTGATGGAAGTCAGAGGCCACCAAGAGCTGAGCTGTGGAGAAAGAAAAGAGTAGACCAGAAATTGCCTCTAGCCTGGAAGCTGCATTTGGTTCAGAGGTAGAGCAGGTTCCCCCTGGTTCTGGAGGCCATGAGGAAATCAGAGTTGGCAGAACTCCTTAATTCTGAAAAGTTCCTCCAAAGTTCTGCCTCTTCACAGAGTAGTCCTTTTTTAACCCATCAATGTTTTCAGCACTTCCTAGTCCCTCATGTAAAACAATCTTATGATCTGGGTAGCTGGGCTTATGGCCAAGTAGGACCTCTGATGTCGCTCTCATGCATACCAGAGGGGACACCAAGTGTCTTCCTTCTCTAGTGCTGCTATAACAGAAATACCACAAGTGATGGCTTTAACAAATAGGAATTTATTCTCTTACAGTTTGTTGCTGTTGTTTTTAGGTGCTGTTGAGTCAGCTCCGACTCATAGTGACCCTACGTACAGCAGAACAAAACACTGCCCTGTCCAGCATGAGCCTTACAATGCTTGTTATACTTGAGCCCACTGTTGCAGCCACTGTGTCAATCCATCTTGTTGAAGGCCTTCCTCTTTTCTGTTGACCCTCCACTTTACCAAACATGATATCCTTCTCAAGGGAATGGTCCCTTGTGAAAATGTGACCAAGGTGGGTGAGATGAACCCTGGCCTTATCACTTCCAAGGAGCATTCTGGCTACACTTCTTCCAGGACAGATCTGTTAGTTCCTTTGGCAGTCCATGGTACTTTCAGTATTCTTTGCCACACCACAACTCAAAAGCATCAACTCTTCTTCGAACTCCTCTTCTTCGGTCTTCCTTATTTATTGTCCAGCTTTCACATGCATATGAGGTGACAGAAAACAACATAGCTTGGGTTAGGCACGCCTTAGTCTTCAAAGAGACATCCGTGCTCTTCAGCACTTTAAAGAGGTCTTTTGCAGCAGATTTGCCCAGTGCAATAAGATGTCTGATTTCTTGACTGCTGCTTCCATTGGTACTGATGTGGATCCAAGTAATATGACAACTTCAATCTTTTTTCCATTTATTTATTTATTTATGCTGCTTATCGGTCCAGTTGTGAGCATTTTCATTTTCTTTATGTTTAGGTGTCATCCATACTGCAGATTATAGTCTTTGATCTTCATCAGTAAGTGTTTCAAATCATCTTCACTTTCAGCAAGCAAGGTGTGTCATCTGTTTATTGCAGGTTATTAATGAGTCTTCCTCTAATCCTGATGCCTTGTTCTTCATATAGTCCAGCTTCTCAGATTATTTGTTGTGAAAGGATACAACCCTGACACACTCCGTTCCTGATTTTAAAACATGCAGAATCCCCTTGTTCTGTTAGAACGACAGCCTCCTGGTCTATATACAGGTTCCTCACGAGCACAATTAAGTGTTCTGGAATTCCCATCCTCCTCAATGTTATCCATAATTTGTTATGAGCCACAGAGTCGAATGTTTTTGCATAGTCAATGAAACACAAGTAAACATCTTTCTGGTCATTTTTTGCTTTCAGCCAAGATCCATCTGACATCAGCAATGATATCCCTCATCCCACATCCTCTTCTGAATCCAGCTTGCATTTCTGGAAGTTCCCTGTAAATATATTGCTGCAACTCTTTTTGAATTATCTTCAGCAAAATTTTACTTGTATGTGATATTAACGATACTGTTTGACAATTTCCACATTCTGTGGGATCAGCTTTCTTTGGAATGGATAAAATATGGATCTCTTTCAGTCAGTTGGCCATGTTGCTCTCTTCCAAATATTTTGGCATACATACATTTTTCACTGGCCAATTGTCTGAGAAGTGGATAGCCCCTTCCTTCTTCTGAGTCTGTCTTAGTCTGGGAGCTCCACTGAAACTTGTCCACGATGGGTGACCTTGCTGGTATTTGAAATGCTGATAGTATAGCTTCCAACCTCACTTTTACAGTTTAGGAGGCTAGAAGTCTGAATTCAGAATGCTGGCTCAAGGGGCTGGGTGAAGGCCCCTTGATCTTCGGCTTTAGCTCTGCATCTTGTTCCAGGCCCACTGGAGTTAGAGCCTTCTCCTAACTCATGCAGCTATTGGCTGCTGAGGCTGATGAACCCAGGATTGATAGGTAAAGGGGTGCAATCCCAAGGCCAGCAGGGAACACGGCAAGCCACGGGTGTCCAAGTCCAGGAACAATGCCAAGATTGGCAGGCAACATAGTAGGCCACTGGTTCAAGTCTAGGAATAGGAGATGAAGACTGGGCCAATGTAGGATCCAAATGTGCCAAAAAGCTAGAGCCCTTTCCGGAAACTTCTCTGTATATACCAGAAGCAGGCCACACCCAAAGGTAACTCCCCTTCAACTGCTTAGCTACTCATAGCAGAGACGACCTTCAGGGTGATTACAGTCTCATCATGGGGAATAAATACATCCAGCTGCTAAGCCACTCAGAACCACAGCCCAGCCAAGTGGGCACACAACCTTAACTACCACACTAAACAACAGGTTAGGACTAGTGCAGTAGTTATGTTGTCTTTAGAGAGACAGAAAGACACACACAGAACACAAAGGGGTAAAGCCATTCTGTCAATTCGTGCAAGGTCAGTGGCCCTAGTTTGCAAAAAGATCAAATCATGGATCAAATCATGGACCTGAGCTGTAGGGGCAATTAATCCAGTGAAGACTGAGAGCAAGCTACTGGGAATCCTGAAAGAAACCGATGGTGGAACTCAGACAGATGGGATTGCCCCTTCGCTCTTTGCTTTGTTAGGTTCTCTGGCATTTGGTGCCCAGAAGAACTCAGAAGTTGGTGGCAGAGAACAGCCACTAGAGTTAGCAGATCTTCAAAGGAGAGAAGGTGGGGGGGTGGTGTGATGGACTGAATTGGGTTCCCCAAATTATGTGTAGAAGTTTTAACCCCTGTACCTGTGACTATGACCCTGTCTGGAAATAAGGTTTTTTTTTTTTTTGTCATGTCAATGAGAGCATATTGAAGTAGAATGGGTCTGAAACCTAATCCTTTCTGAGTGGTGTCTCACAAAAAGAGAATACAGCACAGAGAGACACACTCAGGGGATGAGACCACATGAAGTTCCATCTGCCAGCCAAGGAATGCCAAGAAATGCCCAAGGCTACAGAAGCTGATAGAAAGGAGTTTTCCCTAGAGCTAACAGAGAGGGAGAGAGAGCATAGCTCTGCCCACAATGTCCTGAATTTGATTCCTAATTTCCAGACTGTAAGACACTAAATTCCTATTCTTTAGAGCTACCCATTGGTGGTTTTGTTATGGCAGCCTTAGGTAACTGAGACAGATGGTATGAGCAAGTGGGTAGGGAAGAGGTGCTCCTCTCTGGCTCCTGGCACTCTTGGCAAGGCTGTATTAATGGCCGTGTACTTGGGCCATGTTGAAACTCTCTGCATCTCAGGCGTTGGAGAGCCTGGGAGGCCTGACCTTGCCCAGGGGCCCAGAGCGTAGAGGCCTCTGCGGCCTTGGGCATGAAGCTGTGGTAACCTCAGGGGCCCAGGTTTCTGAATACAACCAAAATGGCTCTTACTTAGGTTTTGAAATTTGCCATCTCCTGCTGCTGTTTCTCCCCCAAGCATAGTCTGGGACCGTCCAAAGCTGGCAGAGATGCCTCTCAGCTGTCGGGTCAGGCCCCGTGAGCTGGCCATCCGTGTTGCAGCACCTTCATAGAGGGAAAGAAGAAGGAGTCAAATGAATACAAATGTGTTGGTCCTTTGCATCGTTCCTAAGACCAACAGAAATGATTTTGGCTTTGATCTTTTTAATTATCCAAAGGCAGGAAGACATTGTAAAAATTAGGTCCATAAGCTTTGGAGTCAGAAAGACCTGGGTTTGAATTCTAGCCCGATGTCTCACTAGGTAGGTGAGGCGATTAATGACTCTGAGCCTCAGTTTCTTCAGCAGGAAAATGGGGATAATAATATCTATCTTGCCTAGCCGATACTGTTGTTGAGACAATTGTTCAGAAAGCAGCAGTGTTTTCTAGTTAGTTAAAAGGCTGGAATTCTCAGGGACACCCCATTCTCCTTCTGTCCTAGTTTGCTGTCTCAGAGACCTGGGTTCAAATCCCCTGCCCACCAGGGCAAGCCACTGAAGACCCAGGGCATCACCAATGGGGGACAGATAGAAGAGAGATAAAGCTACAGCACACAAAACATGTTTTGGGGAACCCTACTCTTGGAGAGCAATAGTTCTGTAAACTGCTCCTTAAAACACAAAGAGTTTGGGTGGGAAATCAGTTTTGGAAAATCTGTATACTGTAGTCCATTCTCTGAGCCTCATTGTTTATTAATGCACTAAAGGCTCTGAGAAGTCAGGCAGTAAAGAAAACTTTCAAACTTTATTTTGTCCACTGTTTCTGAAGGAGCTCTGGTGGCGTAGTGCCTAAGGCATTTGACTGCTAACTAGAAGGCTGGCAGTTCAAACCCACCAGCCACTCCTCTGAGGGAAGGTTGGGCAATCTACTTCCATAGTGATACTGTTTCGGAAACCCAAGGAGGGGTTGCTACGAATCGGATCCGACTTGACGGCAGTGAGTGAGTGTTTCCTAAATGTATTTCCTATGCTTGTGCTGAATGATTGTTAATAAGAAACAAGACCAGGGTTCTAGTTCTGTGGAATACTTTGGAAAGTGCTCATCCAGATCTTGGGGAGCTTTGGGACTTGGTTAAGATATGGGCCAGGTCCTTCAGTCTCCCAGGTTGTAGCTACAGATGCTAACAGACATGTCAGAGATGGGTGGAAAGGAGAGACAATGAAAATGCAACAGTCCCTGCTAGAGAGCTGCTGGCCTGAGCCTGAAAGGAGAGCACTTAAGGGTGGGAGAGAGGGGCGTGGGTCATTGACTGTTTTGTTAGGGGTTGATTCATATGCACCCTTGACACCTGTGAATGCTATCTTTTTTGGAAATTGTATCTTCTCAGATTTAATTGATTAACACGAAGTCATACTGGTGTAGAGTGAGCCCCACCTAATCCAATATGACTGCTATTCTTATATAAGATGAAGGAAACAGGCACCAAGGGAAGATGGCCCATATCAGTGTGGAGGCTGAGATTGAGTGCTGCTGCCACAAGCCAAGGAACACCTGGGGCCATCAGGAGCTAGAGGAGACAAGGAAGGACCTCCTCCTCTGGAGGCTTTGGAGGCAGCCTGGTCTGGTTAACACCTTGATTTCTGACTCCTAGCCTCCAGAACTGTGAGAATAAATTACTATTGTTTTAAGCCACCCTAACTCAACTCCCTGTTGTCAAGTTGATTCCACTCATAGCGACCCCTCTTTGGGTTTCTGAGGCAGTATCTCTACAGAAGTAGATGGCCCAACCTTCTTTCCGAGGAGTGGCTGGTGGGTTTGAACCTCCAGCCTTCTGCCTAGCAGTCAAATGCCATAGGTACTGTGCCACCAGAGCCTCCCAGTTTGTGGTAATTTGTGACAGCAACCCTAAGAAAGGAATATAGCACTACAGATATGAAGAGGGGGGCAGGAGGAATGAAGAAAGGGCCCAGTTTGTTTTCAAACAGGATTCTTTCAGGTCCCTAGAAAAGGGACCCACAAGGACAGGAAAATATAACTTAGCAAAGAGGTACAAATAGCTCATAAACATATGAAAAGTGTCCCACAAACAAATTCCCCAAAGAAAAATTCTCTTCTCACCCATCAGACTGGCAGAGTTTAGAAGGACAAACAATATTCAGTGTTGTGAGTTTGGACATTGGAATAACCTTTGGGTGGGGGAAAATTTGGTGACATACATCATGATTTTAAATGGGCCTACCCCTTGGTATTTCAATTCTAAGATTTAATTAGCCCTGAGAAGATGACCAAACAGGAGCATGAAGATGGTCTTTGCAAGATGCTTTCTCATTCTCAAAATGGGAATAAACTGAAGGTCTAGTAATGGATGGTTAGAGAAGTTGTGATCAGTCTTAAGAGGCAGTGGAGTGCAGTGGTGAAAGCCTAGACTCTGGACCCAGGCCACTCAGATTCAAAGCTTGACTCTGCCCTTCAGTGGGTGGGTGACCTTGGGCAAGTCACCTTACCCATCTCAGCCTGTTTCTCCATTGGTAAAATGGAGGTAATAACAATACCTACTTTGCAGAACTGTTTGAGGATGAAATGATTTAATCTATTAAAAGTGCTTTGGGATACTATCTAATTGACCATTATTATGATGACACCCCTCCTATAAGAGAATATGCTACAGCCATTAAAACGATGATACAGATTCATCTTCATAGCAACAACTTCCACATCCATGTTTTGTAAAATATAGCACACATTGGTATGGTCCAATTCACACACAACTGTCTGTCTGTTTTTTGGTATCTCTACATGAGGACATCCATAGGGAGACGTCTGGAAGGACGATCACACCAACACCAAGCAGGTAACTAGCTGTCATTTCTGGATGTCTGCTACTTCCAGTCATTTTAATTTATTTTACATATTCATACATTTTGGAATTTTCTACAATGAGGTCAATGTCCCAACTGGAAATATACAGTAAAGTCACTCTCATCTGGTGGGAAAATGGAGTGGAGCTATTTCACACCCTTTTGCAGAGCAGTGGTATGGGGCCCATGTGCCCACCACCCTTTAGTGGCCACATCATCCACTGTGGGCTTTTCTGCTTTTGGGCCTTTCCTTGTATCCCTCCCTGCAAGTCTGTGTTCCTTCCTATCTTAGCCCCCTCCGTCAGCCCACGGGGGCTGCTTGGTCCTCAGAAGTACTACAGCTACCCACATATCTTACCACAGTTGGGGTACTCCACCACAGTGGGCAGGTACCGACGCTGGCTCATGTCCACAGGTACAAAAGTGGTATATTTGCTGATGACATTGCAGGCCCTGCTGGTGTGCACGGCATTCACCTGGTAGCGACGGCTGGAGCCTGCAGCGAGGAGAAGCCGGTGGGTCCTCCCTAATTCAGAAAGTCCTCGCAGAAACAGAAGCTCTGGAGGCTAAAAGTTCTCATCTTTGGGATTAAATGAGTCCTTCAAATCAAGGGGTTGCCAACTGACCAATTAAGGACATTATTATTATTATTATTTTAAAAAGAACCAACATTATTAACCTCCATCATCATTTCACATCATCATTAAAGGACCTTTTAATATAAAATGGTAAGGCATTATCTCAGAATAAAGGACAGCTGCTTTCCTTAAATAAGCTTTGCACTATAAAAATAACTCTCTGTGTGGTCTGTATTGATTTTTACATTTTGCAGCTGCGTGAGGAGAACTTTGCTGCAGGACTTCGTTGACCCCTGGCTGATGACCGAGCTCACTGCCATCGAGTCAGATCTGACTCATAGAGACCCCTCCTTGGCTTTCTGAGATGGTATAACTACAGAAGTAGATTGCCCAACCTTCTTTCTGAGGGGTGGCTGGTGGATTTGAACCACCAGCCTTCTGGTTAGCAGTCAAATGCCTTAGGCACTACGCCACCAGAGTTCCCCCTTTTGGACTGATGGGTAGGGATCATTAATGTGGTCCATTGAATCAGTGAGAAGATTGAAAATCAGAGAGGGAGGATGACTTGTGCATGGTCACACAGCAAGTTAGTAATGAACTTGAGGGCAGGCCTCAGGACTGTCTGCCCACAAAGCCCAAACTCTTTCCATTTATCAAATAAGCTGTCTCCTTGGCTTGCTGCCTCCCAGAAAGCTGTGAGGAGCCAAGGAGATGAAGGATGGACAGGTGCTTGGCAAGCTGCAAGATGAGGTGATCATGAGGAAAAAAAGAAATGTACATATTATACTAAAATATAAATATTATATAAAGTATGTATTATTTTTATAAATAAATAAATAATAATATTTTAAATAAATAATATAAAATATCATACCTGTCTGTGTGTATATATTTCTACCACCCATCTATCAGTTAGGAGCTCTGGTAGCCTAGTGTCTAAGGCACTTGACTGCTAACCAGAAGGCTGGCGGTTCAAACCCACCAGCCACTCCTCGGAAGGAAGGTTGGGCGATCCTACTTCCGTAGTGATACTGCCTCGGAAACCCAAGGACGGGTCGCTATGAGTCGGGGCCGACTCGACGGCACATAACAACAACAACAACGTCTATCAGTTTGTCATACTCTGGTGGCTTGTGTATTGCTAGAAACTATGCCGCCACTATTTCAAATACCAGCACAGTCACCCATGGTGGACAGTTTCAATGGTGTTTCCACACTAAGATAGACTAGGAGGAAAGGTCTGGTGATCTACTTCCAAACATTAGATCACAGCAACCTTAAGAATCACAACAGAACTTAGTCTAACTCGTTGGCTTTGGACATGTCATCGGGGAAACCAAGCACTGGAGGAGGACATGATGCTTGGTGAAGCAGAGGGCTAGCGAGGGTGAGGGAGACCCTCAGTGAAATGGATGGGCCCAGTAGCTACAACAATAGGCTTGAACATGCTGGCAGTTATGAAGACCGCCCAGGACTGGGCAAGGCCTCATTCTATTGTCTCCAGGGGTTGCAGTCCATGCAAAGGCAGCTGAACAATGGACACTGCTATTGTTGTTCTTAGTTGCAGCTGAGTCTATTACAACTCATGAAGACCCTGGATGTGCAGAGTTGAACTGCCCCACAGTTTTCAAGGCTGTAACCTTTTGGAAGCAGATCACCAGGCTAGTCTTCCCAAGTGCCTCTGGGTGGGTTTGAACTGCCAACATTTTAGCTAGTAGTCAAGCGTAATGGTTTGCACCGTCCAGGGTCCTACAAGGTCTAGATCTAGATCTATGTATTCTCCAAGTGAACTCCATCTCACATATGCTCCATTTGCCAATTCCTGGATGAAATTAGCTCCCTCCATCACCCGGTTATGTAATCTTTTGAATGTGCTAATAGCACTTATCCCACTGCCATCCAGTCAATTCCTATTCATAGTGACCCTATAAGACAGAGTAGAACTACCCTATAGGGATTCCAAGGCTGTAAATCATTTCCCAAGTGGACTGCCACATCTTTTCCCTGCAGAGCGGCATGTGAGTTTGAACCGCCCAACTTTCGGTTAGCAGCCAAGTGCTTAACCACTCCCAGCATTATTTGATTAACGTCTACTTCACTGATGGTCTGGGTCAAGCACTCATGGTAGGGGCTCGGCCTTCGCTGCTCACTGCGCTGTACAGGGCCCATTGTGAGCCTGGACCCTAGACCATCCACAATAAGTAATGGTGCTGCTGAGTGAGTGAATGAGTGAGTGGACCGACTAGGTAGAGGGCTCTGTGGAGAATCGTGGTCCCAGGGAAGCGGGGAATGTGAAGAGGGCTGTTTATGCTGTTCTAGCGCCTGGAGATCCTCCCCGCTGAGTCCCTACAGGAAGCACTGCAGAGGAGAAGCCTGGAAAGTGAGGAGGAGGGAGACCCGGAGGAGAGGGGAAGGAGGATGGGGGGGGGGGAACTGTGGGGTGAGTGTGGAAGTGGAGGCGCCCTGGCGCCTTCCAAGTGTTGGGAGCAGGGGGAGCCTGTAAGCCTAGGGAGGGGGGCTGATCCTGGGGGCGTGGCGCACTGGGCTGGGGTGAAGGGTGGAGAAGAGAGAGGGCGGGATGGGAAATGAGCCCTGGCGGCGAGTGGGGAGAAGCTCTGTTAGCGTAGTGCCTAAGGCACTTAACTGCTAACCAGAAGGCTGGCAGTTCAAACCCACCAGCCACTCCTCGGAAGGACGGTGGGGTAATCTACTTCCGTAGTGATTCCGCCTCGGAAACCCAAGGAGGAGTCGTTATGAGTCGGGTCCGACTTGACTGGACATAACAACAACAGTGAGTGGGGTGGGGTGGGGTAGGGTAGGGAAGGGCCAGCCCGGAGGCAGCAAGAGGAGAGCCAAGAGGGGTCGGGGAGCCCGAGCTGCTAGGGGCTGTGAGGAGGGGACAGCCGGCGGCGCTCACCTTGTTCGATCTCGCTCTCGCGCTCCGCCAGCTGCTCGAAGTCGCGGATGATGGCGCGGGCCGCCAGGTGGTGGAAGGTCTCATTCCAAAGGTCAGCATCGCGGTCGCCATCCTGCTCCGGGCCTGGGGGGCCCAGCTCGAAACTCACCTCCCACTGCACCCGTTGACTGTTGCGCAGGCCTTTGACCACGGCCTTGCCCAGCACTGGGCCTAGGGTGGCAGCTCTGCCAGCGCCGGCCCACTCCTCTAGTTCGGTCAGGGGCTCCCAGTCAGAAGTCTCGGTCTCCAAGGTGGAGGAGGGGTGATGGGACGGCTCTGTGGGCGGAGGGACAGGTGGACCATGCACGGAGTATGGAGACAGATGGCCATCCCCCAGGGGACATCATCTTTCTCCATGGAGCAGACACTCCTAAGCAACGCTAGCCCTCGCCCCCAGGGAACAGAGGACAGATGAGGTGTTGTGAGATTGTTCTCAAGAGAGGGACAGGCCCACAACCAAGGAAGCCATTCACCTGAGGGAACCAGACAGGGTGGGGTGGGGACACCCGGAAGCAAGAATGCAGCTCTGAGGGTAATGCCTGGCAGCCTCACATACAGCCCAAGCACCTTATTGATTAGGGAAGAGTGGAATTGGTGAGGCTGTCAATAAGGGATGGACCACAGCAGACTCCCGAGGATGACATGGGCATCTGCCTTCTGCGTCTGTCACCTGCACCTGAGCCACAGCCAAGCATTCCTCCCTGTCCCCAGTCAGTTTCTGGACCCTGTGGGCACTTACCCAGGTCCCCAGGGCTGCGGTGGTCTGAGGCAGGTTTTAGGCTAGACTCAGGATTCATGGGGCTCCAGGCTTGGGGCTTCTGGTCTGAGGGCAGGAAGGGCTGGCAGCCTTGGGGCAGCAGGGAGGGCCTGCGGGCCCCTGGACCCTGGATTTTGGGGCCCTGACTCAGGTCATGGCCACTGTTCAGCAAGGGCTAGGAGGACAAGAGGAGGAGGAGACATCTGAGCTCAGGTGGCTGGAACCCCCTGTCCTCCACCCCCGGCCCCTAGCCCTAGCTCCTCCCCTGGGCACCACAGCCCTTCCTCGGGCATTGCCCCTCCGGTTCCCAGGGACACATGGCCTACCGTCATAACTCATGAGAAACATCAGCATGAATAATCCCAAACTATGGATAAACTCCAAACCATAGAAAACCATGGCATATCACACAACAGATTATTCTAACACAGTTTATTTTTGCTATGAAGTTTAAGACTTTTTTTGTGTGTGTAGTTAAAATTATCAATCTTTTTCCTTATGTCTTCTCATATGTCATGCTTAGAAAGATCTTCCCTACTTAAAAAAAAAAAAATTCTTCTAGAATTTTGTGATCTTATTTTTGTATGGTTATATGTTTAAATCATTGATTCATATGAAATTTATTTCTGGTGTAAGGAGATTGTTGTTGTTGTTATGTGCTGTTGAGTCAGACCTGACTCATAGAAACCCCTCCTTGGGTTTCCGAGGCAGTATCACTACGGAAGTAGGTTGCCCCATCTTCCTTCTGAGGAGTGGCTGGTGGGTTTGAACCACCTGCCTTCTGGTTAGCAGTCAAGTGCCTTAGGCACTATGCTACCAGAGCTCCTGGTATAAGGAGATAGGAACCAGCATTTTACTTTATTTTCTAAATGGTACAAATCTCAATACCATTTATGTGCAACTGTCCGTTCCTTGAGTCTCTATGGGTTTGCAGTTTCCCCGCTAACCTGACAAACCTTGCAGGCACATTTGCTTTTATTTCCAGACTCTGTTCTGTTTTGTTGATTTAATCTGCTAGAAGAGCTCTGGTAGGGTAGTGCCTAAGGCACTTGACTACTAACCAGAAGGCTGGAGGTTCAAACCCAGCAGCCACTCCTCAGAAGGAAGGTTGGGCAATCTACTTCCGTAGTGATACTGCCTCGGAAACCCAAGGAGGGGTCGCTATGAGTCGGGGCGGCTCGATGGCACATAACAACAACAACAGCCATGTGCTAAGGAGCCCTGGCGTTGCAATGGTTAAACACTTGGCTGTTAGCCAAAGGTCATTGGTTTGAATGCATCAGTTGCTCCTTGGAGAATGATGATCTGCTCCTGTAAAGCTTACAGCCTTGGAAACCCTGTGGGGCAGTTCTAATGTGTCCTGGGCCACTAGAGTGGGAATTGACTCTATGGCTTCTAACAACAACAGTCTTATGCTGGTACAAAAGAATCAAAAGGCAAGCAATAAACTGGGAAATGTATTTGCAACATGCGTGATAGATCAGTTTCAACAAAATGCTTTTATAAACCAGTGGGGGGAAAGATAAACTCAATAGAATAGCGAGTTACGGGCGTTTTGTAGAAAAGTGTATCCAATAAACTCATGAAAAAGTGCTCCATCTCTGAAGAAAAATTTGTTGTTGGCTGCTGTTAAGTCGGCCCCTGACTCATGACGGTCCTGTGCACAATGGGATGAAATGCTGCACATTCTTTGCCATCCCCATGATCAGTTGCAAATGGGACTGTTGTGATCCGTAGGCTGATATTTGGAACTAGGTAGCCAGGTCTTTCATCCTAGTCCATCTGAGTCTAGAATCTCTGCTGAAACCTGTTCAGCATCATAGCAGCATGCAGGCCTCCACTGACAGGCAGGTGGTAGCTGTGTATGAGGTACGTTGGCTGGGACTCAAACCCAGCTCTCCTACATGGATGACAAGACCTCTACCACTGAACCACCTCATCAACGAATGCCTCATCAGTGTAGATTAGAACAAGTTACTGTTTTGGTTGTTCATCTTGGAGACTGGCAAATATTTAAAACTTTGATGACATTCAGTGTGTTCAGTTGGGAGATAGAAGTCTCTCATGCACAGTTGGTAGGAGTATAAATTGGCACACATTTGTGGGAGAGTAAGTAACTTAGCAATCTATGTTAAAAATGCACATACCCCTTTGACACAGCAATTTCACTTTTAGAATTTGATTTTGTGGAAATAGTCACGCAACTGGGCAAAGATCTATGTGCAAGAGTATTTGCTGCAGTATTGCTTGTAAAACTGAAAATCTGTAAACTGTCTATCAGCTGGACAAATCTGCTGCCAAAGACCTCTCTTTTAAAGTGTTAGAAAGCAAAGATGGCTCTTTGAGGAATAAGGTGCTCCTGATCAAAGCCACGGTATTTTCAAGAGCCTCATATGCATGCGAAAACTGCACAATGAATAAAGAAGATGGAAGAAGAAGAATTGACGCCTTTGAATTATGGTGTTGGTGAAGAGTATCGAACATACCGTGGACTGCAAGAAGACTGAACCAATTTGTCTTGGAAGAAGGACAGCCAGAATATTCCTTAGAAGCCCGGCTGAGACTTCGTCTCACGTACTTTGGACACATTATTAGAAGGGACCAGTCCTTGCAGAAGGATATCATGGCTGGGAGAAGTAGAGGGTCAGTGAAAAAGAGGAAGACCCTCAACCAGATGGATTGAGGCAGTGGCTGCAACAGTAGATTCAAGCACAGAAATGATTGTGAGGATGGTGCAGGACCAAGCAGTGTTTTATTCTGTGGTACATAGGGTCGCTATGAATTGGAACGGACTCGATAACACCTAACAACAACAACATCTAAATGCCCATCAATTTAAAAGAAAAATTCCAGTTGCCAGTCATTTCTGACACATGGCAAATGTCAGGTGTGTCACAGTAGAACTGTACTCCATCGAGTTGCCCATATGCGGATTTTTCAAAAGTAGGTCATGAGACCTTTATTCTGAGGCACCTTTGCATGGATTTGAACCTGCAACTTTTCTGTTACAGCCAAGCTTGTTAACTGTTTGCACCACCCAGGGACTCCATGTCCGTCAGTTGGGGCTGGTGAATTATATTGCAGCCACGCATTATGATATCACGCAATGCTGACAGTGAGAAGGTAGATCTCATTGTGCCAGTAAGGAAAGGTGTCTCAGATAAGACTTGTTTTAAAAAAGGTAAATTGCAACATTCTGTATCTTGATTGTGGTGATGGTTACATGGATATATGCATGTGTCAAAACTCATAAAACTGCTCAGTGTATAGAGTAATTTTACCGTTTGTAAAAATAAAAGAATAAAATTTTTTTTTTTGAGGTGCTTACTCATTTATTTTTAATTTATTTATTTATTTTTATTTATTGTGATTTGGGTGAAGGTTTACACAGAGAATAAAAAAATTTTACAATGTTAATTGAAAGCAGCATTCATGTATAATTGTTAAAACCACATATGTACCTCTGTGTGTGTGTGTGCATTTAGTATTTCTGGAAGAAAACTGGGCATAGGAGGGAAGAGCACTTAATTTTACTTTATGCTCAGCTAAGGTGCTGTGGTAGTGTAGTGGATAAAGCATTCAACTACTAACCAAAAGGGTGGGCATTTGAACCCACTGGCCACTCCATGGGAGAAAGATGAAGCAGTCTGTTTCCATAAAGCCTTAGAAAGCCTATGGGGCAGTTCTTCTTTGTCCTACATGGTTGCTATGGGTTAGAATCCACTCGATCGCAGTGGGTTTATACACTGAACTCTGTGAGGGGTTTTATTCTAAACTCTTGAGTATATATGGGTTTTGTAAATAAAGAATGTTAAATTAATTAAAAATGAGTTTAGTGCCTCTAGGAACACATACATCCTCCTGGTGGAGGAGGGGGTGCCGGACCAAAGGCACTTAGTAGGGGTAACAGAGAGAAAAACAGCTCCTCTAGATTTTTAGGCAGATATTTAGATTTGTATTAGTTAACCGTGGGGCTTTTTGAATCCTATCAAGTCGTGCTTGGGAGGATCTGGGGATGGGAGAAGAGGCCTTGTCACTCTCAGATGGCCTCAGTGAGAGCTGGTTCCCAGCTATTTAACTCCTCTCTCTTCTCCCTCTCCCCATTGAGAGACTGGGAGTCTCCCCACCCCTGCCGCACCATCATCACCACATTGGATGAGAAAAGAGAGAGACCAAAGCTGCTACAGTTTTCATGGCAACAGATTAGCCTAAGATCCAGCCCTTTACCTTGCCAGAGGCACCAGTGACTCTGTGTGTCTATGTGTGTGTGTGTATGTGTATGTGTGCATGCCTATATGCAAATGTGTTGGGGAGAATCAGAGATGGAGAGAAGAAGCCAGATGGGATGAGGAAGCGATGAGCGAAGACTGGCCAAGGAATGATCAGGAGAGAAGTAGAGAAGTCAGCCTGCTCAGAACGCTCACCAAGGTAGAGCTGCCATTTATAGGACACCTATCGTGTGCCAGGCTGGTGCAGATGGTGAATGTTCTCAGCTGCTCACAGAAAGGGTGGAAGTTCAAGTCCACCCAGAGACACTTCAGAGGAAAGGCCTGGCAATCTAACTGAAAACTCAGCCATTGAAAACCCCATAGGACGCAGTTCTACTCTGACTCACGTGGCGTCATCATGGATTGGAGTCAACTTGAAACAACTGGCGGCTGTGCGTCAGCGCTGCACCAGCACTTCTTTCTCCCCAGCCGACCCCTGGGACAGAGCTCCACTGAGAGTTGGCTCCCGTGGATTGCTGCACAAACTATTCTTCCGCTTTCATGGCTGTATAGGTTGGGGCTCCGAGAGGTTTTGTAACATATTTGAGGAGCAGTGTTGGCCTTACTTCCATGCCAGTGTCTTCCCTTTGCATCGAGGGGTCGCTGCATAAGCAGGGAAGTCACCCTCGGAACCAGGTGGCAGTGTCCCTGCCCTTGGGGACTTAGAGCTTCATTACCATGTATATATGTGGCAAGATTGGGGGAGAAGGGCTGGGGACGGTAGGTGGCGGTGGGAGGGAACACAGAGAGGAGAATGAAAAGGCTGCTGTTATAGAGCCATGGAGTCTGCAAGATGAATCCACATGAAGGCTGCACTCTAAGAAAATGGGGTAAAGTCTGAAGATAATACCAAATGCAGTTTGGTTTAGGACAGTGGTTCCCAACCAGAGATTTTGCCTCCTTCACCTAGGGGTGACATTTGGCAACATCTGCAGACATTTTTGGTTGATACAACTCAGGGGGAAGGTAGTGGTGGTAGTAGTAGTCCCACTGGCATCTAGTGGGTAGAGGCCAGAGAAGCTGGTAAATAGGAAAAGCATAGGATGGCCCCCACAGTAAAGAATAACCCAACCAGTTGCTGTTGAGTCAATGGTGACTCAGTGATCCCTTGTGAGCTGGAGGAGAACTGTGCTGCATAGCATTTTCCGTGGCTGATTTTTTGGAAATAGTTTGCCAGGCCTCTCTCCCAGAGTTCTTTGGGGTGGACTCAACCTCCAGTCGTTTGGTTAGCAGCTGAACATGGTAACTGTTTGCACCACTCGGGGATTCTGAACAAGAAAATTTCTGCCCCAAATGTCAGGGTGCAGAGGCTGAGAAACCCTGGTTTAGCATGACAGTGGATGACCATTTCTGCTGGGGCTCTGACTCTCAAATCAGTGCTGCTCTGGGTGACTGTATAGCTCCTAGGATTTGCAGGAGTACAGTGTAATGTGGGGGGAAGCGAGGGCTTTGAAGGCAGAGACATTCTCTGTGTGACCCTTGGTAACTCACATTACCTCTCTGGCCCTCAATTTCCACATCTGCATCAACCTCCACATTCTCTCCTCTCCCAGGGGTACTGTAAAATCCAGTGAGTAGGTGGGGATGCTCTCTGTTAACTGGGAAGAGCAGCCAACCTTCCCAGAGTTCTCACCAAAGTAAACTGGCCAGTTTATAGGACACCTACGCATGGGATCTGATGGGGTCACCATGAGGCAGGCCAACTCAACAGCAACTGGTGTGGTATTTTGGTTTACTGTATGCCAGGTGCTACCCCAGGTACTTTATCTCTTACTAGTCAACCCCTGGAAAAGTGTTCCACTTAGAGCTAGCTCCCAAAAATATCTGTGCCCAAGGAATAGTGAGCTCATTGACTGTTGAGTATCGTTATTATTAGGGGTCAGGTAGATGAAGGTCCAGAAATGGGATAGGGGAGTGGCTCACTTCCCAGTAAAAGTTGTGGATAAACTTGTCCTTGTGGTTGGAGCAGGAGACGCAGCTCTCCCCATCTCGTGGCCTCCTCCAATCCCTCCCCCACCTGCCAGGCTTGGGTACCTGTAAATCAATCTGCCAGTGCTGGGCGTCCACACTGGTGTGGTTGGTAAGGTCCTGCTGCTTGGCTTTCCATATTGGGTATCTCCTGGCAGCTGCTGTGGGGTCGCTGGTTGTGGTGGCCCTTGGAGAAGGCTTGGGGTTGGAGATCTGGTTGGTGCTGTATGCCCTCCGTCGCTGGGAGAGGCTTAAATCTGGGGAGTGGTAACAGGGAAGCCACCGGGGTGGAAGACAGTATGAAAAAGAAAGCAGGGCATGCATGTCCCTTACCTGCTTGGAAATTTCCAGAATTTCCCACCGCTTGAAACATGTGTGGTGCCTCACCTGGCATTCGAAGCCTTGCCCTCTCTGTCAATCTATCTTTCCAGGTACTCCACTTTTGCTCCTTTTTCAGAGTTGCTCTGAACAAACTAGATGAGCAACTATTTGTGTATGTGTCTTCACCCCAACACCTCTCCCCAGACATTGTCTGCAGCCTGGGACCTCCTCTCCCCTCTTTTCTAAGGACCAGACCCTTCATCAAGCCTCTGTTGATTTCTTCTACCAAATGCACCTCTCTGGGGCCCCCGTCACTCTGCTTTCTATCACAGTCAAGGCCAATCATATCTCTCACTAGATGGAGAGCTCCTGAAGGGCAGGCGCCATGTCTGAGTCACCCTTGCTTCCTATGGTGTGCTCAGTACGTAGCCTTAGTAAATAACCAGTCACTACCTTCAAATGGAAACTAACACCATAATGAGGCTTTGGAGTCAGACAGTCTAGACTCTGTCTGGGTCAGAATGCTCTAGAGAACTGAGAATGGTAAGACTTCTGCTCACTTATTTGGACATGTCATTGGAAAAGACCAATTGCTAGAAAAGGTCATTGTGTTTGGTAAAATGGAAGGTTAGTGAAAATGAGAAACGCTGAATGAGATGGATTGACATAATAGCCACAACAATGGGCTCAAACAGACCAACAATCATGAAGGGCAACACTTTGTCCTTTTATACACAAGGTCACTGGAAATCTGAGCCAACTCAATGGCAACTAACAACAGTAACAACTTCTTTAAAACTCCATGAGTTTGGCCAAGTTTCAAATTCTCTACGTCTCAGTTTACTCACCTATAAAATGGGTATCCATCTCTGCAGCTGCTAATTACTCAATGAGATTGTTTTTATAAAGTATTTAGCACATAGTAAGTGTTCAATAAAAGGTAGCAATCAGTGTGGCCTCCCTGCAGAGGAAAGGAAGCACAAAGAACAACAGACTCACTGGCGTTGGTGGTGGAGTCTCTGCTGGACTGTCGGGCATCTTTGCTCTGTGAGCTGAAAGATGCCCTTGAGCTCTTGGTGCAGTCCCTGCTGTCTGGGCTGGGCCCCTCGTCCTGTGAGTGGTAGAAGACGGAGCTGCCAGACTCCTGAGAGTGCAGCATGCTGTACTGTCGCCTCTTGTCCTGTAAGAGGGAGAAAAAAAATGGGGCTAGGAAGGAGGCTAGATGTCAAGAAGGACTTTCAGGACACAGCAAGGGGTGTGAGAGGAAGGGATGGTGGTTCCATCTCTAAAGAACTGGCATAATAGGCTAGTTTTTGCTTGCTTGAGGAATTCAGGCAGCCTTCTGCTCAAGAGATAATGAATGGAATTGTCTTTTCATATAACTTATGTTGCTGTTTTCTTTTTTCAATAGGGCTAAATAATTATTTAGAGATTAATTAATTAATGTATGTTTTGATGAAGTGACTTTGCAATAAATACATAGCATCCCAAGAGTAATTAGGCTTTTTCCCCTGCTAACTCCCTATTCTTGCCCCTCTCCAGCCCCTGTTGTTGTTGGGTGCTATTGAGTTGATTCCAATGCATAATGACGCTATGTGACAGAGTAGAAATGCCCCCATTGGGTTCCCTAGGCTCTAATCTTTATGGGAGCAGATGGCCAGGTCTTTTCTCCCGCAGAGTGAGAGGAACCACTGACCTATCAGTTAGCAGCCGAGCGCTTTAAGCAGCCCCAGATCCCTGTCACCACTAAACTTTTTTTATCTCGATAGATTTACCTATTCTAGATATTCCATATAAGTGGGATAATACAATATTTTTTTGTATCTGAGCTATTTCACTCAGTATAATGTTTTCTTTATGGTTGCATAATGCTCCATCGTATGCATATACCACATTCTGATTATCCATTTATCTATTGATGAACACTTGGATTGTTACCACCTTTTGGATTTTGCAAGTAATGCTGCATTGAACATTGGTGTATGTGGGTCTGTTTGAATTGCTGCTTTCAATTCTTTTGAATATATACTTAGGAGTGGAATTACTGGGTCATATGGTAATTCAAGGCAGCTCTGGTGGCATAGTGCTTAAGCCAAAGTGCTAGCCAGAAGGCTGGTGGTTCAAACTCACCAGCCACTCCTTGGAAGGAAAGTTGGGCAATCTACTTCTGTAGTGATACCGCCTTGGAAACCCGAGGAGGGGTCACTATGAGTTAGGTCCGTATTGAGGGCAGTGAGTTTGGTTTGTTTTGGTTTATTTTGCTTTCTAAGAGAGCTGTGACAAGTTATGTTTATACCAACAATGAATGAGTATAACCTTTACCTAACATGCCTACCAGTAGCAAGAGAAAACTTTGCCAGTCTCATGGGTAAGAAAAGGAAAATGGATTTGATGACTGTCAAGTGGTAGGGTCTGTTGATGATCTATTGCCTCCTGACCCTGTGAGGAAGTCCTGAACTATTGGCCAGTATTTTGTTTAGAATTTTCTCCCTGCAGTTGAACACCTCACTCTCCATAACACATACATTGTTATCTTGATCATGATTCTTAATATTAGAAACTCTGGAAATTTCACATAAAATTTCAACTTCTCTTGAAAAATTGGAAACATATTTAACACAGGGCACACGTTCCTACGTGGCAACAGTTTTTTGGAGCCAAATAGGACCTTCCCAATTTAGACAGGGAAAATACCATCCAGTTTGCCATATTTCCCACTGCTCCTTATTGTCTTTCCAATTATGAGCTCAGTGATAATAGCTTTCATCATGGAATCTGCACCTTTAATTTTTATACTGATTTCATACCTGCCTGATCCCTCTAGGCATTTGAGTTTGTGGCTCCTGCTGAAAAATAAAACAAGGTAGGCAATCTTTCAAGGAGAGAGTAGAGATTCACTAGCTTCCCAGGTAGTCTCCTATATTTCAGCATGAATTCCTCTTCCTGTTGAGAATTTCCTTACTTTTATCCCACTTCTGCCACCACATGAAAGGGAATTATTTACATAAATAAATAAAGCACAAACTCATCTAAGAACATATGAGCATTTAAGAAGATGTGAAGTATGCATCAGTATTATTTAGAGGAGATTATGTAAAATGCAGGTTCCTGCACCTTACCCTTAGGGATTCTTATTCAGTAGAACTTGGTTGGAACTAGGACTCTGTTTTCAAACAAATTGTCCAAGTTATTCTGCTGCAGAGATCCTGAGATCCACACTTCAAGATAGTGGCATCTACCCAAGAGGTATCACCATGATCAAATGCCCATTGTCTGGCAACTATACTCCACAACTATAAACCTAGTTCCAACTCATTCCTAGATGCCATGAGTGGAGTATTTCCAGCTAAAGATGGCTTTATGGGCATGGTTTCTGGGTCCCCATTAGCCCCTGAAATTTCTAGAATACTTACAGATCTGAGATTGGAGATGTATAAAGAAGCATCACACACAATGCCATACCCCACCAGCCGTTCTCCAGGGAAGAGAGAGCTGGTGCTGACAGGTGAGATCAAGACTTCAGTGGTCTCAGGGAAGATCCACTCCACAGTCACATCACTCAGGACTGGGGCCATAGCCTTCTTCAGGGATTTGACCATCTGTTGGGCAGGGTCAGAAAGTAGGTTGGGAATATTGTGAACAGGGGTGTGTGCAGATGAAGAGCATGAAGACACTGTGACCATGACTTTGAAGGAGTGTGAACAAGGAAAAAGGGATAAAGCCTGAAGGTGGCTTGCCAAGTAGTGAACATGCTTCTGAGCTTTAGACTCCCAGAATGTCAGAATTGGAACAGATCTTTGTTATCATCTCCTCTAAGCTTAGCATCTTACAAATGAGAAAACTGAGGCTCAAAGTAGGGCTGTGACTTGCTCAAGACCTCACATAAAGTTTATGTTAAAGCATAGACCAACTAGTGATCCTGAGCAAGTTATTTGCTTCTCTGGGCCTCAGCTTTCCCTTCTGTTAAAGTGGGTTAGTAATCCTTAATTCTCAGTATGGTTGGGAGAATTATCTGAGATACTGGATATGAGGTATCTACCACATGATAAAGAGCTCTGGTGGCATAGTAGATAAGGCACTTGGCTGCTAACTAGAAAGTCAGCAGTTCAAACCCACCAGCCACTCCACAGAAGGAAAATGGGGCAATCTATTTCCATAAAGATTTACAGCCTCAGAAACCCAATGGGGGTTGCTGTGAGTCTGAATCAACTTGATAGCAGTGAGTTGTTTTTTTTTTTTTTTTGGCCATGTGAGAAATGTTCAATAAATGATAGCTGTGATTTAGCATCTCCTAGGTTGATTTCCTCTGATGTATTGGAAAGCTGCAGGAAAGTGATTTAGGAATGTGGTAGCCATGGAGGCATGCTGCTCAAATCTCCCTTCAAGAAAGGACATGCCTTTATGTTGCAAGGAATGCAGATAGGTGAAGCCTGCAGGTGCCCAAGTGTTTGAACCAAGACCACATTTCTTCCTTGAAGCCCCCAGCCAGTCACTGAGTACAGCAGAGATACTAGTACCTGGCCATTTCAGCCCAATGAAACAGTCTCCTCTAAGAGGCAGTCTGATCCAGAGTGCCCTGTCAGGTTGGCCGAGACTTTGTCAGGTCTGCATCACCGTCTGAGGTTCTCCTTGCCCAATTCTCCTTCCCTCCCTTTCTTTTAACGGTTGTTGGATACACATCATGGATTGAAGATGTTTCCTTCTTGCTTTCTCATCTTTTATCATTCACAGACATATCCCCCTATAAACCTCTTGCACTCTCAGTTCCAGCTCAGTCTCTGTTTTCTGGAGGACTTAGACTAACAGAGATTTTCTAAGGGTTGAATAATTTGTGCCAATTGCACATGTAATGGAAGGAAGACTATAGGCCGCTTAATTTCTGGGCCCTATAGATTCTCCTGAGCCACCATTTGTCATCACCAAGAACTTGGCTAGAAATGATTCAAAACACAACTCCCTATCTATAGAGGCAGTGACTCCTTCAGGGACACAGTGGATGGAGCCTGTGATCCCATGGTTGGAGACCAGGAGATCCAGTGTTGTGTACTAGCTCCTAGGGTAATCTGTTTTGTGACCAGCACCTCTCTGGTTCCAGTATAGTGTGGCCTAGTGGAGAGCTCAGCTTTGTGGTGAAATCCAAGCTCCTTCACTGGCCTGTCATACGACCAGTCTGGGCCCCTGAAGCTTTAGAACCAGAAGGGACTGAGGCCCTTCTACCTACCTTGGGCTGCAGCCGCTCTCCCTCTACCAGGAACTCAGCACTGCCCTTGGATAGAGATGCAAGCCTTTGCACCAGTCTGTGGCAGACATTGGGTCCAATGCCAAAGCTATAGCACCTGGGGGAAGGGTAGGAGAGAGGCTGGTACTTCCCATCCTCTCTGCCATCTTCTGCCCCTGATAGGGAAAGGGACAGAGCATGATCTATCAGCGTTATCTCAGAGCTGGCCATATATTCAGGCAGGGAGTGAGGGAGAAGGAAGAAGGGCTATCATTGGACACTCATATACACACATACACACCCCATCCCAGTCAGAGAGTCAAAGCAGCAGGAAAGACTTCCTCTCCCCAGGTTATGCAGGCTGTTCTTTGAGGGATGTATGCAGAGGCGTGGGCAACTCATCCCTCCTGAACTTTTCATGGGAAAAGGCAAACTTTGAGGTCAGCCCACACCATCCTGAAAACAAAGCACTATAGGAATTGTGGATCTTCTCTCCTTCTTCCATTTTCCACATTTTGCGCTCTAGTTTTGGTATCCTCCCAGCCCAGGGACAGCCTAAGATGACTGGGTCCTGGGCCTTCAGCCCGGGCTAACCTGGTGGAGAAGGCATGGTTGCGCACCAGCTCCAGCACCTTCCCGGTGTTGCTGACAGCACCATCCGTGATCAGGAAGAGGAGCCGTGGGTGGCCCTGGTGCACTGGCTGCCGGATGATCCACTTGAGAGGGGCGAGGATGTTGGTGCCACCCATGTCAGCCCTCATTCTCTGGATGTTATCACAGGCCAAGGCCAAGTTCTCCTGCAGGGAAAGGACCACTGGAGGGGCAGATTCCCCAGGATCATCATACCAGGGGGAGACTCTAAGCTTCCTGGAAGACAGGCTCTTTGTTTCTCTAACTTCTAGTTCAGCCTCAGTGGAGTTGACCTGTGTTCCCAATTTCATCACTGCCCCATTCCCTGGAAGAGGAGGTAGTCACTTATTTGGTGTGATCTTATCAAATGACATCCTCCCTACCAATGCCTGAAATTCTACCATTAGTGGTATATCAATTTACCATTGTCCTTTCTGGATTTCTCTTTAAAAATATAAACGCTCTTGGAAAAGGTTTCCCATTCAACCTGTGATTCCTCGACACCAATAATGTTTCCTTTTCTGATGAGGGAGGCAGGTGGATAGTAGAAAGAACACTAGACTAGGAATGATAAGGTAAATCCTGGTCCTCAATCTAGCACTAACTCCCTACAATACTTTGAGGAAATCACTCCTTCAATCTGAGCTTCAAATTCTCTCCTTTCTGGGTCAACCCTGTGGGACTCAGCTGGCCAGGAATTACTGGCACTGGATAGACATCATTGCAGCAAGGCCAAGTTATCACTGGACATTAAATGTCCTCCTGTTTCTAACTCTAACATCCATGACTGGAGGGGACTTATAAGTAATGGGATACATTAAGTCTTAAGATGTACATGTACCTTTTATACTCACAAGTCTAGGAATTTATCCCAAGGGAATAATTAAGGATGTATGCAAAATTTTTCCTACAAAGATGACTTAATAGAAAAAAATGAAAAACAACCTAAGTATCTAACAGTAGGGGAAAATAAATCACTATCTCTTGCATAACAAAAACTAGGCAGCCCTTTAAACTATGTTGCAGATGAATGTTTACTGGCATGGAAATATGTCCAAGATAGACTATTGTGTCAGAAAAGTAGGTACAGAACAGTATGTAAGGCCTAATCCTATCTTTCTTGAAAATGTGTGTAAATGCATAGAAAAAGGTCTAGAGGGATTTGTACCAAGTTATTGACAGTTTTTTTTTTTTTTTTTAATTTCCTTGACTGATGTAATCGTGAGAGAATTTGTTTAATTTTTTCTTTTTGTTTATCTGGATTTTAAAATTTGGGGATAATCAACATATAGTATTTTTGTATAAAAAACCCACAAAGTCATTTTTAAGGGAGAAGTGGCTTCCTTTTCTCTCCCCTCCTCCCTGCCTTCCTTCTCTTTTCTTCTCTGCCTTTGCACATTATCTGGGTTCGATTTGGGTGGACAGCTTCTGAGGCAGGCCCCAGGGTGACTTCTCCTTTCCTTCTTCCCATCTGCTCCTAGACCTGGGTAGGAAGCTCCAATTTGGAACATGCTTTTGGGCCCACTGCCTACTTGTTCCAAATTGTAGCTTGAGGCTTGTGAGTTGGATTCTTTGTCCACTTCCACCCACTTACCCACCCATCCCCTTCCCACTCCTTCCCATTCACCTTCTTAGCTGAACTTTGCGTGAGTCCTATAGTCCTTGTGAATCAGAGGCTTTGGTACATGGCAAGGCTAAGCTTTTCCTCTCTCTTTGCCCTCTTGGTACCCCATCTCTCTGCACTCACCTACTTTGCCCAACATACTATTTTATTTTAAAAATAAAGCGGTGGTTATCAGAAAGCTGAGGTGTCAGAAAACTGCCTAAACAGAGAGAATGCCTCTTCACTTCTCTCCCTTTGCAATGATAGGGGTTCAGTTTGAGTGGGTAACTTCTGAGGCAGGCCTCATGGTGACCTCTTCTTCCCTCTTCCCTTTCTTCTGATCCCCACCACACACACCCTTGTGGTCTCAGCCCTCCTAACCCCTCCTTACCTCGTTGTAAGTCTGACTGGAAGGAAACAGAGTCTTAAATGTGGATCCAAACCCAATGACATTGAAGAGGCAGGCTGGCAAGAGGCTCTTGAGAGCCACCAACATAGCATCCTGGCAGGTGAGAAAGGGATTTTTGGGAGTCAGGATGGTGTGGGGAGGGTTTACCACCCTGTCATCACATACCAGCATTCTCATTCCAAAACTGAAGCAGCTTCTAAAAAGGCTGTTGCCCCATTGTCTGCACCCATCATTTCCCTCTCCCGTAGACCAAGAAATTTGCTGACCAAAGACTGGACCAAAGCCATCGTCATAAACCTTCTCATCTGTGCAGCAGGTCTGACTTCTCAAAGCTGTGTTATTATGGTGTTCCAGTTCTAGCCCCCGTCTTGCTGACCTTGAGAGGCAGAGAGAGCAGGGATCACTTGCTCTCTTTACCAAAGCAAAATAGACATCTAAGGCAGGAATGTTTTCTGGCCCAGGTCATACAGCTGATTGAACAGGCTTCTGGCTCTCATCCAGGGCCTTTGCATTGAATTCAACCCATTATTATCTAGGGACAAATCTCTTAGGGGCAGTCTGTTTAGCTCATATATGTTGAGTGCATGGGATGTACATTACATGCATCACCTCATGTCATCTTCACAATAGCCCTGGGAGGCAGGCACAATGCTATCCCCACTTTATAGAAGAGAAAATTGAGGCACAGAGAGGTGTAGTGACTTGTCAGTGAGCATCCAGAGAGTAAATGATAGAGCTAAGACTCAAAGATATGTCACTTTATCTCTAAAGCCTGTGAATATTAAAAATCTTAACCTATATAACTATGTACATCCAGAAAACCTTGACAAAGGTATATTGGAGGAAAAAAGAATGCTAAGGAGGGAAGGTGGAGATGGTGGCAGAAACAGAAATGATCATGACCATGATGATGTTGGTATAAAGCAATGATAAATACATAATAAGCAGTTGCTGTGTTCCAGATACTATGCTTAGTACTTTATTTATAATTTAATTTCATCCCTTTAACATGCATTGTAGTATGGTGGTTAAGAAAATATGCTTTTCAGTTAAACATATTGTTGTTGTTATTATGTGCCCTCGAGTTGGCCCTGACTCATAGCGACCCCTCCTTGGGTTTCCGAGGCAGTATGACTACGGAAGTAGATTGCCCACCCTTCCTTCCGAGGAGTGGCTGGTGGGTTTGAACCACCAGTCTTCTGGTTAGCAGTCAAGTGCCTTAGGCACTACACTACCAGAGCTCCTTCAGTGAAACATATCTGGGTTTAAATCCTACTTTACTAACTTGACCTTAAGTTAGTTTGTCACCCCTCTGAACCTTAGCCTGTCACATAGTACACATTCAGCAAATGGTTATTATTACCAGCCCAATGAAGTGCATATCAATATTACCCCCATTTTACAGATAAGGAAACAAAGACTCAGAAGGATTAAGGAATTGTGCTGGATCACAAAACATAAGAATAAGACCAAGACTTCCAAAATCTAGCTCTGGAATCTTTATTTATGTTGGTTTTGCCTGGGTACTGAGTTCAGGAATGATGCTCTTCATCTCCCCCACCATGTAGTTTATTGATGGCACCCCAAGGATCTCAGCATGGCTTCAGGGAAACAAAATTTTTACTCCAGAGTTCAGAAGGAAACAGCTGTAAGAGGGTCCTGGCACTCTCACATCATTTGTTTTCTGTGCTCCACAGACCTGTAGCCCCTCTCTCTATCCCCCACTGTAAACATAAACTAAGTGTTTTCTTGGTCTCTTTTTATTGCTTGTGTCAATACATTTTGTTTGTCCACATAAGCCAATATCTGATTATTTTTTCAACAGCCACTAATGTATATTCCTGCTAGCAGGAGACTCTGCTGATCCATACAGATTGCCTCTGCTCACACCTATTAGAAATTTTTAAGCCATGTTTTTGGCAGCAAGTGGCAGCTGAAGAATGAGACCAGCTGCAGGAAATCAAATTGTCTGCACTTAGCCCTCTGGCATGGGTTATTTGGATTTCTGTTTACTTCCACCTCCCTAAGCCCAGTTTTCCCTAAAACTTGAACCCAATGGGCCAGAATTAATAACCCTAGCAACCCCCAATGGCCTCATTGTCAATGGGGAAAGGAGTATGTGGCCTGAGAATTTCTGTGCTTCTATCTAAAAGGGGCATGTTCAGCAGAATGGATTTTGTGCCAATGCCAAATCATTTATCAAGGAGTGACCTTGGGTTCAGTTTGCTGAGCTGCCAAAGAGCAAGAGAGGGAAAGCAGGGAGAAAGCAGATGGAGAGGGGGCCCAAACAAAGTTATTATCAGAGAATTCTGGAATGGAAGGGTTGGAAAGGTCTTCAGTTCAGGAAATGGGTTTCCACTCATATAAACCAACTCCTTTCAACTAGCAGTAACTCCCTGAAACACTGACATGGGAAAGATGTGGAGGCTAAGTCCATGCTCAGCAAGAAAAAAGAGTCATGATCAATTATTGATGTCTGCCTGGGCTTGGGAGAGGGGAGCAGAACAACATGTGACATGTTTGCGCCCTCCTTGAAATCCTTCCTTCTCATTTTACAGAAGGGACAAATGAGGTCTAAAGCTGAGAGTCAACCTGTTCAAAGTCACACAGCAAGTTAGTGGCAGAACTGGTCCTGGAATCCAGACCGCTTATTTCCCAGGAATTTTTGTCCTCAGTATGCCATGATGCAGCAAGAAAAACATCATCAGAGAGGAGAGCTTTTCTTAGTGGGAGAGTATGTACAATCCCCAATCAGCAATACAAATAATACTAATAATAAAATAAAAGCACTGAACCAAGAAGGTTCTGGCTCCCTCACCAGTCCTGTGATATTGGGAAAAGCATTAGTCTTTCAGGGACTCAATTTCCTTACTTGGAAAATAGAATTGGGCAAATATGTTTCAAAAAATCCCTTTAAAGTTTTAAAAAGCTAAGATGTCACTTTGATGACTAAGGTGTGCTCAACCTAAGGCATGGTCTTTTCCATTGTCTCTTATGCATGCAAAAGCTGGGTAATGAAAAAGGAAGACAGAAGAATTGGTGCATTCAAACTATAGTGCTGGCAAAGAATATTAAATATACTGTGGACTGCCAGAAGAACAAACAAATCAGTCTTAGAAGAAATGCAACCAGAAAGCTCTTTAGAAGTGAGGCTGGCTAGACTTTGGCTTGCTTTCTTGGACATGTCATGAGGAAGGATCAAGCACTAGAAAAGGACATCATGAGTGGTAAAATAGAGGGCCAGTGAAAGTAAGAGAAAGCCTCCTTGAGATGCATTGACACAAAAGCCCCAACAATGGACTGAAACATACCAATGATAGCGAAGATGGGCAGGACCCATTCAGTGAAGGAAATGCTTCATTCTGTTATGCATCGAGTCCCTGTGTGTTGGAGTCAAGTAGATGGCAACTAATAACAAGGAATGTTTTGGGCTTATGATCCCATCACAAGTTGGTAAGGCTGCAGAAAGGAATATAGGTGGCTACACAGAGCTGAAGGAGCCCTGGTTGCAAAATGGTTAAGCATTTGGCTGCTAATTGAAGTCAGCAATTCAAACCCATCAGCTGTTCCACAGGAGAAAGATGTAATCTTTATAAAGATTACAACCTTGGAAACCCTCTGGGGGCAGTTACTCTATCCTATGGGGATATGAGTTGAAGTTGACTTGACGGCAGTTAGATGGGACACAGAGGTCAAGTGTGGTTCAGCACTCTGGAACTGTGGACAGAGCTGTCCAAGCTTTGCCTGTGATTGGGGGTGGGGGCCTGAGGTGGGAGAAGGTATCAACAAGTCCTGCACTCCAGTGTCAAGCAGTCTAGGATCTCATATGATTCTTCTGTACTTGAAAACAAAACCCAGTCATTACAAGCCTGAGGAGATAGCTGGCCTTGCAGGCCCCATCTAACTCCTCTCCTTGCTGATCCTTTTGCCCTGGAAAGAAGCTTTTGCTCCAGGGACAAACTAGAGGAAGGGATGAAATTCTAAGTGACAGCAGAATCTCTTTCCCTTCTTCTTCCCTTATCCCTCGTTTTCCTGAATTATGATCCTTGACCCATCTCAATAAATAGCAACTATGGGCTTTCTATGCATAAACACAAAGGTAGGTCCTGCAGGGAGAGATGAGTGAGGAAGATCTGGCTTTCTCTTTAATAATGAGTTCATAACTCCAGAGGAGTGAGCAGACATCCGCACAACTAACACTACAAGGAAGAGTGGGATAATGCCATAATCAAGGCAAAAAATCTCCTGAGGGCAATGAAATTCTCCTGGGTGTGTGTGTGTGTATGTGTGTGTGTGTGTGTGGTGGGGGTAATCACTCTTCTCTGCATTCCTGCAGAGCTCTTCTTAGCACGGAGATCATGCTCCCAAGTATTCTGATTGGTTAGCTGGAATGTTTTTCTCATTCAACTGCAAACTCCTTGAGAGCAGGAACTGCTTATATCCTGCTGTCTTTCCCTATGACCCACAAATGGACCTTGTGTTTAGGACCAGATGTGACAACCAGGCTTTGTGGATGGGATGAGTGTGTGGGCTAATCCCCTTCTTCTGGGGTACCTTGACCCAAAACACATCCCATAGCAGCTGGTGGGCTACCAGCACATTCTTCTCATCTTGGCCTGAGCACATGTCAACATTCCTAGAAACTGCTTAGCTAAGTGTGTGTGCTACATAGCACTTGGCCAAGCCTACTTCTATAACTATTCCCAGTGGGGAGGGAATGAGGTCTCTCTTCTATAGCACAAGATGGGTGCATGAAGACCATCATCTCTGCTTTGGCTGCTATGGGGAGTGACCCACTCACCATGGGGGACTGACTCCCACTGTTCGAGCTGACCTTGCTTTGTCTCTATGTGAGTAAAGAGTTATTCCACCCAGTGCTTATTTAATTCACAACTTGGTATTGGTAAACTGTGTCATTCTTGGTGACTTCAGATGTTGGCTTGACATTGGACATTAAAAAAATGATGACCCTAATATTTATTACTGGATTACACATTTCTTGATAATGGGGCCACATTAATATCTAATGTTTAGTGGTGGGAACTGTAAGACAGACACATGTTTAATCTTAGATCATGTTAGCTATGTGACTTTGGATAGATTACTGACACTCTCAGTATCAGTTTTCCCATTTGGAAAATGGCGCCAATAGGACCAACCTCATAGGACTGTTGTCTGAATTAAATACTAAGTTGTGCATTAAATGGCTATTACAGTATCTGACATATAGTAGGCCCTCAGCAAATGTTAGTTGCCTCCTCTTCTATCCATCCCTCTCCACTAGGTCCACAGTGAGGCATTTTTGCTAGAACAGGCACTCAACCAAAATTTGTAGAATACAACGGACAGCCATTGAAGACTTCATTCTGTGAAAATGGACAACAGTTCTGCCTCTGCTCACACTGCTTCAGGGTTTTATTTTGGGAGTGACTTGAGTTTAGGTGTCTGTTTGAACTGATAACAAATGTTTTCACTGCTTCACTTTTACCCATGGATAGTTATTAAGGAAAGAGGATCAGGTGTGGAAGAAGGCTGCTTGGAACAGAAAGTGCTGAGGAAGCCAAGTTGGGGAAGCACAGCTGATTTACTCAGCAACCCTGGACCTCAGGGGAGGGAGTCTGTTATGGATTGAACTGTGTCTCCAAAAAAGAGAGCTAAAGTCCTAATCCTTGGTACCTGTGAATGTGACCTTGTTTGGAAATCAGGCCTTTGAAGATGCTATTCAGTTTACATGAGATCATAATGGAATAGGGTGAGTTCTAATTCAATCTGAGCGATGTCTTTCAAAAGGAGGAGAGAAGACAGAGAGAGACGGAGGGAAAATGGTCATACAACAGTTATGCTATAGCTGCAAGCCAAGGAACACTTGGGCTACTAGAAGCTGGAATAGAGAAGAAGGGCTCTTTCTCTAGAGAATTCAGAGAGAACATGGCCCTGCCAGCACTCTGAATTTGTACTACTAGCCTCCAGAACAGGAGCTCTGGTAGTGTAATGCCTAAGGCACTTGACTGCCAACCAGAAGGCTGGAGGTCAAACCCACCAGCCACTCCTTGGAAGGAAGGTTGGGCAGTCTACTTCCATGGTGATACTGCCTCGGCAACCCAAGGAGGGGTCGCTATGAGTTGGGGCCGACTCGACGGCACATAACAACAACAACAACAGCCTCCAGAACTGTGAGATAATACATTTCTGCCATTTAAAGCTACCTACTTTGTGGTACTTTATTATGGCAGCCATAGGATACTACTGGATTTGTGAAAAGTCGCAAAGATAGACTTGAACATGCTGCAACCATGAGGCTGATGCAGGACCAGACAATGCTTTATTTTGTTGTACTTAAGTTTGCCATGAATCAGAGTTGACCCAACAGCAACTAACAACAATAGGAAACTACCACAGGGCCCTCTTAGCTGGTACCTTGACACAGAGGATGTTGGTCCCACTCATGCTGCCACTTCTGTCGATGAGGAAGATGAACTCCCCGTGGGTCTTTCTCAGGTTTGGCTGGGATGACTGGAGGTCAGGACAGAAATTGAGCATGATGACAGAGTGGTGGGGAATGTCCTTGTGGAGACGTTTCCGGATGATTTCTGTCTGGAGGAGAAAGGTACACTCTCTCACTTGGGCAATCAAGGAGTCCAGAGATACATCCAGAGGCCACATGCTGGAACCCATGACTTCATCAAGTATTATCAAGATCCACTCATACTCTGCATGAAGAGAATTCTGCTTGACTGTACGTGACTCCCATGTTTGCTAGATGTTCACAGAGTGCAATGATAAACATGGGATTGAAAGCAGAATGATCTGGGTTTGAATCCTAGCCATTCAGCTGTGTGATCTTGGGCAAGTCCTGTCTCTTGGTCTTTTTCCATTCATTTCTCAGGGTGGTTGTGAGAATGAACTGAGCACATAGAAAGGAAGCCCCTGGCACACCTGCAGGACCTCAGTTAAGTAGTGATCTCTTGGCTTTTACCAGTTAGCACTACTGCCATTGGGTTGATTCCTACTCATGGGGACCCTATGTGTGTCAGAGTAGAACCATGATCCAAAGTGTTTTCAGTAGCTAATTTTTTGGAATTAAGATCTTCAGGACTTTCTTCCAGGGCACCACTAGGTGAACTTGAACATCAGCCTTTTGGTTAGCAGCCAAGTGCATTAACTGTTGGCACCACCGAGGGACTCCTTCACTTCACACTCAATGTGTAAACCACTAGAGTTCATCATGGCTGTGAGCTTTGTTTCCCTGGTTTACTGATTCTCTTCCACTGATAAATTCCTACTCATTCTTCAACTTATACCTGTTTGGAAAGCCTGCCTCAATGTTCCGGGTGGACTTAATTACTTCATTTCCTCATCTGTGAAAGGAGGATAAGGATATAGACCTCATAGAGTTGTGTGGATTAAATGCAATGCTTATGAAGCCCACTGCTGGGCAGAGAATAACTGTCTCTAAACAGTAGCTAGGAGCTCTGGTAGCATAGTGCCTAAGGCATTTGACTGCTAACCAGAAGGCTGGCGGTTCAAACCCACCAGCTGCTCCTCGAAAGGAAGGTTGGATGATCTACTTCCGTAGTGATACCACCTCGGAAACCCAAGGAGGGGTCGCTATGAGTCAGATCCGACTCGATGGCAGTGGGTTTAGTTTAGAAACAGTAGCTATCATTGCTTCCATCGTCATTAATGTTACTTGTTCTGGGGCTCCACATTTCTTACACTCCCTGGCAGTGTTTTGCTCATATTTCTCCCTCCTCTGTCACTTGTGAGCTACTTGAAACAAGCCATGCCTCATCTCTTGCATTTCCAGAACTTAACACAGGGCCAAGGACCCTGTAGCACAGTGGTTAAGCACTCAGATGCTAACAGAGAGGTCTGTAGTTTGGACCTACCAGTGGCTCTGCAGGAGAAAGATGTGGTAGTCTGCTTCCATAAAGATTTACAGCCTAAGAAATTCTATGGGGGCAGTTCTACTCTGTCCTATAGGGTCACTGTGAGTTCAAATTGACTCAGTGGCAATGGGTTTGGTTTGGTGTTGGTTTAACATAGAGCCTTATACAGTGAATTTTAAAGAAAGAGAGTACCATAGTTCTTTATCTTTTTGTGTGGCCTTATGGCTAGCCCTGACACACTGATGATGAACTTGACCCTCCTCCATCCACTGCCATGGAGTTTATTCCAATTCATAGGGACTCTATAGAACAAAGTGGAACTACCCCATAGAGTTCCCAAGGCTGTATAAATCTTTATGAAAGCAGACTGCCTCATCTTTTTCCCATGGAGTAGCTGGTAGATTTGAACGACTGACCTTTTGGTTAGCATCCCAATGCTTTAACCACAGCACCACCAGAGCTCCTTTTGACCTGCCTTCTCCATATTAAATCTCATTTCCACCATCCTCACTGTGCCTCTACATCTTCATCTCTCTGTCTCTGTGTGTACATGTGTTTCTTTGTGCCTGTTTCTCAGTTTCTGTCTATTTGGGTCTCGTCCTTATCTCAATAGATGACATCACCACCCACCCAGCTGTTCAAACCAAAAATCTAGGAGTTGCACTTGAATCTTTTCCCCCACCCCCATCTAAATTTTTAGCAAAGGATTGTCAGTTCTACACCCAAACAGCTCTTGAACTTGTCATCATCTCTGTCCACACTGCCATCACCCCAAGTTCAAGACAGTGTCATCTCTTGCCTGGACCCTTGTGGTAGCCTCTTACTGACCTCTTCCTTCCACTTTTATCTTCCTGCTGTCCAGTTTACATAGAATAGCCAGAGTAATCTTTCTTGTCATTTTCTTCCTTAAGCTTCCACTCATGCTCTGCGCCATGGTTTACAAAACCCTACAAGACTTGCTGTCTGCCTACCTGTCCACCTCGTCTCTGCCCACCTGTTCCCTATGTCTCAGCCATGGAGGCCTTCTTTCTGTTTCTCTAATAGGTCACCATTACTCTGCTTTTCAGGAGCTCTGGTAGCATAGTGCCTAAGGCACTTGACTACTAACCAGAAGGCTGGCAGTTCAAACCCACCAGCCACTCCTCGGAATGAAGGTTGGGCAATCTACTTCCGTAGTGATACCACCTCAGCAACCCAAGGAGGGGTCACTATGAGTCGGGGCCGACTCGACAACACATAACAACAACTCTGCTTTTCTGTCTTTGCACATAGTGTGCTTGCTGCTTGCTCCTTGTATGGTGGGTTCTTTGCTACCTGCCAAGTCTCCTTCTCAGACATTCTCTGAACACCTGGCTACACTCATTACCCTATTACCCTCTTTTACTTTTTCATGGTCATCACCCCTCTCTGAATTGCTCTTATTCATTTGTTTACTTCTTGTCTGTCTCCCCATTCTAGACTGAAAGCTCCATGAGGACAAGAAATGTGTCATTTTCCATGTTGTAATCCAGTGCCTAGAACAGAGCCTGCGTAGGCTCTTGGTGGTTGATGAATGGATAAATGGAAATGAATCTGGGTGGGTCTTTTTATTGGTCAATGACCCTGTGTGTGCATCTTTTTAATTTTTTTTCAGTCTTGCTATCTCCTTGTCTCTGCATCTCTGCTTCTTGTACATGGTGTTTTCCCCTGTGTCACTGGCCCTGCCTTTGCTGAATCGTGGTTTTTGACAGCTTGCCTCACCCACTCCTCTTGATTGATGTTTGCCCTCTGAATGTCCCCAACCCACCCCTGCCTTCCTCCTGCATGGAGCCCCTTTGCCCCAGGCTGCCCTACCTGACCTGGCTCTTTTGATAGAGAACTAGAACAGCAGCAGCCCCATCTGCCAAGGAGAGAAGCCACCTCCGGGAATGTGATTTCTGCCTCTCAGAGGGGTGGAGTGAGTGCCCTGCCCTGGCTCCTCTAATGGCTCCTCTTGAGCTGCCATTATCCAATTACAATAAACTCATCACTTCTCTGCAGCTGCGGGTTGATCTTGATCGCTGTCATCCCTGGAGCTCGTGAGAATAACAGGCCATTTGCATAAGTAACCCAAGGTGGCAAATTAATTCTCATTTGCTTCAGCGGATCCAGAGCTAATTGATTTAAGGCTTGGCAGGCAGGACAGCCCGCCCCCCACCTGGGAGGCCCATTGTTCTGCTCCCCTCTTGCCCACACAGCACAGTATTCAAAGCTTGGTGGTACCCTGGCATTGCCACTCCCCACTCTGAGAACCTGGCTCCAGCCTCTTCTCCCAGAAGACTCATCTGGATGAGGGGCCACCTTTGGGAGGGCAGGTATTTCCACTGTGTCTCTAATATGGGAGTGACATGAACAGTCAGCCATCTATTATTTCCTGTCCACTTCTCCCCTCACTTTCTTCTACCAGCTGGGTCAGCAGGGAATAGGAGGGGCTGTAAACCCAGCTGAACTACCACCACGTGGCCTATTTTCATTCATTAGCCTCATTGTCACCAAATCCAACCTACAAGATAACAATCCTCCCCTTCCTCCATCTCATTAGTTATTTTTGGATGTCGGACCTCAATGTTCTCATCTAAAAAGGGGGCCAATAAAGATAAAAGTATCATCATTCTTAAACTCATCTTGGCACTCAGGACCTGGCATGGTGTACAAGGCCATGAGTAGAAGGGGGTTGCTGGGTGCACCTTGTGGCTCCCCCTCTCCATCCCCTCCCCCACTGCCAGGGCCTTCTTGCCCCTCAGCTTCACGGGATGAGGAGGGAGTGCAGCCCCTCCCCCACTGCCAGGGCCTTCTTGCCCCTCAGCTTCACGGGATGAGGAGGGAGTGCAGAGGAAAAGGATCTTTCTCAGCCATTCCCTGCTCTGCCTTTATTCTTTACACAATAACAAGCAAGTGTCACAGAGGAAGAGCAAAGGACTCACTTAGAAGGTGGGGAAAGGGAGGCCCAGGAGGTAAAGATGAATCTGAGAGGGCACCCAGCTAGCTATAGAGTCTTTGGGTCTAGAGACTAGCCTGGAGAAGGCCAAAGTTGCTTCTGCCACTAGCCTTGAATTTTGACTGGTTTAGTAGGCACTTGACTGCTAACCAGAAGGCTGGTGGTTCAAACCCACCAGCACTCCTCGGAAGGAAGGTTGGGCAATCCTACTTCCGTAGTGATACTGCCTCGGAAACCCAAGGAGGGGTCGCTATGAGTCGGGGCTGACTCGACGGCAAATAACAACAACAACAATAGTAGGCAATCTGGAGGGGACATTGGTGGTTTAATGGTAGAATTCTTGCCTTCCCTAAACCAAGGCCCTGCATTCCTTTACACCATGACAGTGCTGAGTGTTGAATCCCTGCCATGGGCCTCAGGTGCAGCCACCACCTGTTAGTGGTGTTTTTTGTGTTGCTGTCATGTTTAACAGGTCTCAGCAGAGCTTCCAGGATAAGAGTAGGAAGAAAGGCCTGGTCATCTATTTCCAAAAATCATCCAATGAAAACCTTATGGATTGAAATGGTCTGATCGCCAATGGATTAAAGGGATGGTACAGGACCAGAGAGTGCTTTGTTCTGTTGTGCATGGGGCCACCATGATTAAGAGGCCAACTTGACAGCATCTAACAATAGGTACTTTAGAGGGAGTTGAAGGTGGGACTAGAGGCAAGGTGACCTGGAAGGAGGCAGGAGGACAGAGCCCAAGGACTGCTGCTTTGCGAAGTCCATTTTCCTTATAACCTGTAGTACCCCAGCCCACTGAAGAGATATGTAGGCAAGAGACACTTCTCATCCAGGATCTGCCACCAGCTTGCGTATGACCCAGGGCAAGTCTCCCCCCACCCCCAGTCTCAGTCTTCGGGTTCAGTGAAGACTAAGTCCCCAGTGCCACCCCAGCCCTGCTATCATTGACTCCCTGCTTTTGTCACTCTCACCTTTCGCTCTGCACTGTTGTCCTTCTTTGTTCCTCTAATGAAATCTGTTCTTCCCTTCAAGTGTTGGTCAAACTCTCCCAGGGTCATGTCTCCTTTCTCCATCAGGACATGTGGCATGTGGGGCTCTGCAGAGATGAGGAGACCAACACTCAGCACTGTCATGGTGTAAAGGAATGCAGGGGCCTTGGTTCAGGGAAGGATCTTCTCAGGCCGTGGGATGCCCAGCTGAAAGAGGGAGTGTCATCACTGCCTGCCTGGAGCCTGTCTGCTGTGAAGCAATCTGGGGCCATGGGAAGACTCCTTAGCTGCTCCTCTCTGGGCCTCACTTTACCCATCTGTACAATGGGAGAGGGCCTGGACTAAAATGATCTTTCTAGGTCCTGATGTTCTGTGAATTCTTAGAAAAGAGCTGCTCACTGAGGGTACAGGGTCTCATTGCACTTGGGGTTTTGAAGATGCTCTGCTCAGCTACCCCGGGAGACAAGTGCCTCAGTGGGTGGACAAGACCTTGGGACATTTGGAGCTAGAATCAGAGCAAGAGACACTCAATTCCATCAGCTAGAGCCAAGTTTCCCAGAAGGCAGATAGCTGGCCTCCTCCTTTCCAGTAGTCCTTTGGCTAGCTGCTGGGCAAGGGATCACATGTTGTCTTCCCCATGGGGTCAGCACCTCTTCCCTCCCCCAAGTACCCCAGGGGCCCCACACAGTGCCCCCTACCGCTGGGGTGGATGAGAATCTCCACGGGTCGGTCAAAGGTGTGCTTGCTGGCCAAGGTGATGATGATGCTCTTGGCTGAGCGGGCAGATGGGGCAGCATCAGCACGAATCTCATGGGTGGGACTCTCCACCCCTGAGTGGCACAGAAAGTGAAGGATAGACTCAGGATCCCCAGGAGAGATGGGGGCTTGGTAGGGGACATTGGATACCCAGGCCAGAGACAACTGGCACTCCAGCCCCATCAGGGACTCCTAACCTGCTGTGAGACCATGGATGGGTCTCCTTCTCTCTGGGCCTCTATTTCCCCATTTGCAAAATGTGGACTTAGGTTCTAAAATCAAGCCCACTGTCATTGAATTGATTCCAACTCACAGTGATCCTACAGGATGGAATAGAACTGCCCATAGGATCTCCAAGGCTGTAAATCCCATCAAGTAGCTGGTGAGTTGAAATCACCAACCTTTCCGTTAGTAACTGAGTGCCCAACCACTGTGCCACCAGGGCTCATGGGCTTAGATAGATGGTGTCTAATGACTCTTCCTGTCCTGGCCTCAGGATCCAGTAGGGGTCAGAGGAGTTGCTTTCTCATAGGGCACATAAAGTACCCTGCAAGCTGCCAGGCAAATAGAAAGAGCTCAGTGCTCATTGGGGTTGTGTTTTTGGTGGTGTCTTGCACTGGAATGTAACACCTCTCTAGGAGAACACTCACTAGCAAGAAACCACAGTCCTAGTGCCCTCTGAAAATCCAAGTGGGTTGGGGAGGAGAACCATCAGAGCTACGGTCCTCAACCCTGCACATTAGAATCACTTGGGAAGCTTTTCAATATTCCAATGCCCAGGTCACACCCCAGAGCATTGCATCAGAGTCTTGTGGAGAGAGGTCTGGGTGTCAGTGTTTTGAAAACTCCCCAGGTGCTTCTGATATTTAAACAAGGGGAGAACCAGGAAGTAACCTTAGGGCTGTTGTCTCCAGGAGAGGTCCAAGAGCACACTATTTCTCAATAGAAATTTCCCTAGGAAACCACTGTGGGCCTTGAAAGCTGTGCCTCTGAGGATTCATCTTTGGGCTGCTGTTGGGGAAGTAGTGTGGGGATCCTGAAGTGCTCTCTGCTTCAGATTGTCCTCTGTCTGGGCCAGTTGGCTCCCCTCGCCTTCCCCTTCCTCTCTCCCCTGGTAGCTTTCAGCCTGAAGTTCTCCCCCCCCCCCCCAGGGACCTCAAGTCTTCTTCCCAGCACCTGCCCTGGTCTGGGCAGCTCCTTCTCACCTGCCAGCAGGCAAGGCCCACGTATCTCCAGCTGGAAGGTGAACTCGTATTCCATGGGGTTGGAGACCTCAGTGTCCAGAAGATTCTCCAGGCTCAGCTTGTTCCAGGAGTTTAGGGCTTGGGCCCTGAAGCAATGCCTGTCTTTGCTGGGAAGGGCCAGACAGGAGGAGTAAGCAGATGGCCAGGGCTCAGGCAGGAGGCCAGAGGGGGAAGATAGGAGGGGATGGTGGGTCCTGGACAGGCCTGGCAATCCTGCAGCCTAACCTACCAAGAGGGCTGAGGACTTCCTCCCACCCCCAGACCATTACTTTCCCACCTACCTCCAGGGTAAAGCCCAGGTACCTCTGTGGAGCACCCATGATGGTCTGGCACCATGCACAGTGCTCCACATACATTAGCTCACATCCTTCTCACGATGACTCTCAGAGGAAGGCATCATGGACCCATTTTCCAAATGGGGAAATAGAAGAAGCACAGTGAGGTACGGTGACTAGGCCAAGATTACACAACTGGGACTTGGCAGAACTGGAATCCTTGTCTCTCTGGCTCCACTACATCACACTGCTTCTGTGAGCTGTGAGCCCTTGGATAAGTCACTTCACTTCCCCTCTGTGTCTTGGTTTTCTCATCCATTAAATGGGGATAATACTTAGGTAATTGACTTGAGCATGACATGAACTTGTGTCTGTCACATGCTGAATGCTTGAGTTTCTTAGCTCCCTTTCTTTGTTATGCCGCCTCCGTTTCTGATCCTGTTCCCTCTCCCTCCCCTACATAGGCACCCCTTCTAATGTGTTTGCTAGATGTCCTTCAATATGTTCGTTGCTGTTGTTCATTGCCATTGAGTCGATTCTGACTCATAGTGACCCATGTGTGCAGAGTCAAGCTGTGCTCCGTAGGGTTTTCAAGGCTATGACCTTTCAGAAGCAGACTGCCAGGACTGTCTTCCAAGGTGCCTCTGGGTGGGTTTGGACCACCAACTTTTCAGCTAGTAGTCAGTGCTTAACTGTGCTACCCAGGGACTCCACATATTCTTGTAATACATGGTGATCTCTAGGTGTGATGGTGCCTTAAAATGAACAAGATTGCATTTATTATGAATCTCCTTCAATTTCATACTTTTTTCATCTAGCACTGTTTTTAGGCTCTGCCCATGTGGCTGCCTGTAAACCAAATCCCTTATTGCTAACATGGTGTTGTTTAGGGGTATTCATAACAATGTACCTATCTGCTCCTTTGGTAATGGACAGCTAGGTCACCTTCACCTCTTTGTATCCCTAAAAAACAACACCATAAATATCCTTCTTTGGACTTCAGGAAGAAGTGCTCTGGGATCCCTGGGTCAAAGGCACACAGTAGGTACTACCAGATTGCTTTCCAGTTGCCTGTCTCAGGTTTGACTTCAACCAACAGTGAGAAAGTTTCCTTCTCTCCATGTCTTTCTTCACTAACATTTGTTGCTATCTATCTATTTATTTTTCTTGTGTTTCTCTATCTGAGCAAACTTGAGGTTCATAGGAATTTGATGGAGAGCATCATCATTAACTCTGTCTGCTGGAATGGTTGCAAATGAGCTTATCAGAGCCAGCCCAGGGTCAGGGCCTGCCGAGTGTCTTGTTCCCTGATCTACTGAGGTCCTGAATGTCCCCAGCTCTGCTAGGCCTTGCCTCTCAAATGCACAAGGCTTGGTACCAATGTTGCACTTACAAAGATGACTAACAGGTTGGTATTCCCTGGTCTGAGACCGGTTAGTGCCACCAACTTCTCTGCTGTGCTTACAAATGTCCTCACCCCACCTTTCAAGGTCGTACACGATCTGTTCCTCCATCCCACCACCTCTGTAACCTCTCTCCTCCTGTCTCTCATTCACTCTGCCAGACTAGCCTTCCTGCTGTTCCTTAAACACACCAAGCTTCCTTGGGTTTCGGAGGCGGTATCACTATGGAAGTAGATTGCCCCATCTTCCTTCTGAGGAGTGGCTGGTAGGTTTGAACCACCTGCCTTCTGGTTAGCAATCAAGTGCCTTAGGCACTATGCTACCAGCTATCTCCACTAGGCAGTACAAAAAAATCTGTCCTGGTACTGACTTTGTCTTGATCTCTGTACTGACTGGCTCCTCCCATCCTATAGCTCAGCTTGGGTTTTAATTGGCTGTTTAATTAGCTCCTCTCCTGTGACCTCATCCCCATAATAGTCCATCCTGCTGAGAATCCTGCAGCCTCATCTCATACTGCCCATGCTTCGGGCCGCTCTGATCCTTGCTGCCTTCAGACCTTTGCCCCTGCTGTTCTCACCTATGGAAATGATCCTTTCCATGCCTGTGTCCTCATTGGTGAGATCTCAGCTGAAACATCACATCCTCAGAGAAGCCCTGCCTGTCCCTGGACCCTTTTAATACTCTTAGTCCAATGAACTTCTTCTTCATTGAACTTTTCTCATAATTAATTATGCATGCAAGAATGTAAACAATTAGTTGCATATAGTTGAGCTATTAGTTGTATAGTGATCTCTCCCACCAAGTTCCAAAAGGGCAGGGGCCATGATTTTATTCTCTCTGTATTCCTAACACCCAGCCCAGTGTCTAAGACAGAGTAGGTGCTCAGAAAACACCTCTTGGGTGAACTAAACAATTATTGTTGTTGCTGTTATGTGGTGTTGAGCCGGACACGACACATAGCGACCCCTCCTTGGGTTTCCAAGGCAGTATCACTACAGAAGTAGATTGTCCAACCTTCCTTCCGAGGAGTGGCTGGTGAGTTTGAACCGCCAGCCTTCTGGTTAGCAATCAAGTACCTTAGGCACTATGCCACCAGAGCTCCTAACTAAACAATAAGTCCTGGATATTCTGATCCCAAGCTGTCCAAATCCCAGAACTTCTGGCCTACACCAATATAGGGGTGTGCCAAGGAAATTGCCAAATGCTCTAAAAAAGTGAGCAGGTGAGGAGCTCTGTTCATCTAGATGGTGACAACTATAAGCTGAGCCTCACTTTCCACCCTTCTATCTCCCTAACCCTGCACACCCCTAGCTTTACCCAACTGACTTGACTGACTTTCATCTGGGCAGGGCTCCTTACCTTTGGGGCTGTTGAGTGGCATGGCCAGCACACTCTGTGCAGAACTGCGGCACTGTTGGGGTGCAGACAGCAGGCAGCAGCACCCTCACAGCCCCGCTGGGCAGTGTTGGGAGCTCGGAGGAGGTGCTCACGAAGATGGTCACATTCTCCATGGGACCAATGGTCCCCAGGTTGACCACGAACAAGATCCGTTCCAAATCCTCATCCAAAGTAACCTTTCCTGGTGTGCAGGAATGAAGGGCAATGGGAGCCCCCTCTTGCAAAATATTTCCTAGGAGCCGGGCCTGAAGTCAGGGCCTATGCAGATATTATCCCCAGTCCCTGCTGAGATTATTGTGTGGTAGGTTTGAGAAGCCCCCTTTTGCTGATGGGAAAACAGGCTCAGTATGGAGGTGTGACTTGCCCAAGTTATTCATTGAATAACTAAGTCATTGAACCAGGATCTGAACCCACAGGGACCTGATCCAGGCCTGTGTACTTTCTGCTATACCTTGCTGGGGATAGGAGACATGGGCTCACAAAAACAAAACAAAACAAAACAAACCACCTAACAGGGAGTCACATCTCTATCTTGCTGATTCTACATCCCCCCAAGAACCAAATTCAATCATCCCCCACCCTTGGAGATCCACGTTTTGCTCATGCGCTTTCTCTTATCTGAAAGATTCCTCCTTAGCCAGTCTTACCCATCCATCCAATTTCTCCACGAAAACCTTGCTGGTCCCCTCTGGGCCCCTCTCTTACGTGCTCTAACACTATTTAGTCCTTTCCTGGCACAGCCACATTCTAATTCCTATCATAGTTACTCCTAGGTATGTCCTAACTATTCTTTCAGGATGTATGGAATTGTAGCAACTCAAGGGCAACTTTGACATTGGAAATGGAAAATTCTCATTCAGATTCTTGAATGTCATAATAATCAGGTGAATAAACTTGACCTTGATCATAGATCCAAAAGTAAGAATCATATATCATATAATACTTGTTCTGGGTTCAAGTTCTGGCTCTGCTGTTGGCATGCTGTATGACCTTGGCACTCACCCTTTCCAAGCCTCAATAGCAGGTACCAGCAGTCATGATTTGCATACTTAATCTTTGCCAGAGACTATGATGAGTACTCTGCATAAATACTTTCCATTGATCATCAGATAGGTATAATTATTAGTTCCATTTTACCAACGGGATCTAATTTCTATCTAAGCTTATATCCCTTGTAAGCAACAGGTTAGGGAGTTAAACCCTGGTGTGACTAATTCCACAGCCTCTGAGAGTAAATGATACCCTATTCTTCTCTGTAGGGATATCTGAAAAACTCTTTTGGAACCTCCTCTGATCCTCATCACACTTTTGAGGTGAGAACAAGAATGACTACTTCTATTATACAGGCAATGAAAGTGAGGTTCAGAGAAGTTAATTATTGGCCCAAGGACAGATAGGATTCTATCTCAGGATTCCTGATTCCTAGTCCAGTGCTCTCTATGCTATTCCCTGGCTGACCTTGCCTGACACTTCAGCCTAGGCAGCCTCCAGTCAGACTAGGCCCTGCTGTGGCCCTTTCTGGCCTTCTTACCTGTGACTGCTGACGATCGGACATGGGTGGCATCAACACGGCTGCTCTCTAGCTTGGCTTTGTCTTTGATCTGTACTGTCACAACACGGTTGGCAATGACTGCCTCAAAGCCGATCACTGTGGTATACTCATCTAGGGGGTACACAAAGAGGCCTGCCGGAGCAGGGCTGGCATCGTGAGGTGTCCCAGCACCACCCAACATACCCCACCCTTGGGTAGGAGCCTGAGCCTTTATCCTGTCAGGTGACTGGCTCACACTACCAGAGAGGGCTCTGCAGAAAAGCCGGGCTGGGACCTCCAGTGGGGCCAGTTGGGTAGCTGCAGCAGCAGTTACTGTGTAGGCAGTGGGGGAAATGGAGAATCGACAGCTTCTCTCCAGTTCTAGCAAACTTATTTTGTGGGTGTGTGAGCCCAGTGTGGCCACAGCTTCTGATTTTTCAAGAGCAATTAGAAACTTGGATTTTATGTAACCTCTTATGCAAACCTAATAAAAAACATCCGCACAGTGGATTTGGTCCATGGCCACCAGTTTGCCGCCTGAGGTATTAAGGATCTAGGGCTTTGGAGGAGGAAGATTGGGGTTCTAATCTGGGCCCTGCCTCATTTACTAGCTGGGGGACTTTGGATAAGGCATCTAGCTTCTCTAAACCTCTAAGTGTACCTGTAGAATGGGGATAATACAGTCAAATGCATAGGGCAGTTGTGAGAAATGAGCAATAGGCACCATTTAGTAAGCTCTGTAGCCCATATTATGTGCCAAACAATTTTCTCTCTCAGTGCTTTCCAAACTTTAATGTGCATGTGAGTCACCTGAAGATTCTGATTTAGTACGTCTGGGGCAGGACCTGAGACTCTGCATTTCTGATCAATTTTTGAGTGATGCCAATGACTTGGAGGCCACACTTGGAGTAGCAAGCTGTTATCTATCTCATTTAATCTGCCCAATGGCACTGGGACAGCACAATGCCAGGCCCAGGGTGAGTCCTTCACGAACCCTAGCTTCCTCTTCCTCTGAGCCTCAGTTTCCCTACTTATACAATGAGAAGACTGGTTGTTTCTGCATGTGGAAAGTCAAGGAAGGACTGTCCCAAAGTTGTTCAGTTATTTAATCCCCTGGACGTGCAGGTGGGTCCTATTTTAAGCCACCCTCCCTGTTGTTAGCTGCCATTGAGCCAGGTCCCAACTAGAGGTGACCCCATGGACAATGGAATGAAGCACGGCCTGCTGCAGACTGTTGGGATCCATAGGCCTTTCACTGGGATTATTTTGGAAGTAGATCACCAGGCCTTTCTTCCTGGGTGATCTGAGTCTGGAAGCTCTGCAGAAGCCTGTTCAGCATCCTAGCAACACCCAGGTCTCCACTGCCAGAAAAGTGGTAGCTGTGCGTGAGGTGTACTGAACAGGAATCGAACCCGGGGTTCTCTCATGGAAGGTGAGAATTCTGCCACTGATTCACCATGCTTCTCTCCCTTGGGTTCCTTAAACAGAGCAGCAGGGCCATTCACCCTGCCCAGAAGATTTCTGAGGGGGACAAAGTTTCTCTGCAGGTTCTTTTCGGGTAATGTTGGCTCCCAGGGCATTGAAATGCTTTTAGAACATTGGGGTGAGCTGGAGGGTCGTCCCAAAGGCATGAAATATCCGGGTTAGGAGCTCAGTCACTGTAGTGAGAAGGGCATCCTACCCACAATAACCTTTCTGACAAAGGGTTTACATGAAGCAACCTCCTCAAGAGCCTTTCTGTAACTCCCTTCCCGAATATGAAGAGAAATTTGATTTACACACCACTCTGCAGGCAAACACCTATCCACCTTCCTAAGCACCCCATACTGATGATTCATGTTCGCAGACTGTTTTCCAGTGCACACTGCCCTTCCTTATGCATTACCTCATCTCTCACCACAGCCCCAAGCGGGACAGGCAGAGAGGAGCATCCTGATTTTGAGAGGAGCAGTGGCTTTCCCAAGGTTAGGGACAGAGGCATACCTAGAACTGGGGACATCTGGCTTTGCCCAAATCTTGATACCTCTCCTACTCCCTAGAGATGGTGTGAACTGGCTATTTGACACAGGCGCATGCCTTGTAAGAGGTGTAAAGTGCTGGGACAGTTGGCTGGAATGAGGGACTAGGGCTGAACCCAAGCTTGGGTCCAAACCCTGACCTTACTTATTATTAACTTTGAAGCCCACAGGGCAGAAATGCTATTCCCATTTTATAGATAAGGAAACTGAGACTCAGAGAGATTACAGTGTCAATCAGCCAGTAAATGGCAGGACAGGGATTTAACCTGGAGGATGGGGTGGCCCTGGAGATGCTCCAGCAGGGATTCTTACCCTGGAAGGGTTGAGCTTCCAGGTTACCATAGGTGAGGGAGGCGGTCAGACCCAGGGCATAACCACTGACAAAAGAGGTGATATCAGATGCGGTGAGGGGCAGGGCTGCCCCTGTGGCCTGGTTCAACAGGCCGGGCATTCTGCTGGCTACTCAGCCCTCAGAGCCTGCAAGAAACAAAAAGGGCAGCAAGTGAGGAAAGACCTTCTGTTATGGATTGAATTATGTCCCCCCAAGAGGTGTGTTGTAAATCTAACCCCTACACCTGTGGATGTGATGTTGGTTTGTGAATAAGGCTTTCTTTCTTATGTTAATGAGACCATATTAATATGGCGTGTGTTTTAAGCCAATCGCTTTTGAGATTAAGCACAGAAGCACTGGTGGGGAAAGATTCATGCCAAGTGGAGATCTCCAAGGAATCGAGGAAGAGAAGCTAAAAGAGATGATGATTTTCCCCCATCCTGACAGAGACAGCCTTCCCCGAGAGCCAGCACTCTGAATTCAGACTTCTAGCCTCCTGAACCACGACAGAGTCATTTCTGTTCCCTAAAGCCACCACTTGTGGTATTTCTAGTACAGCAGCACTAGAAAATTCATGTACCTCCCACTGTTCCCCAAAATAGTTTTCTGACCTGAGATCCCACAGGTAGTCGGAGAATCACTTTCTCCAAGGATTTTCCAGTTAGTGATCCCATGATGACTGTCAATCATCCCTGAGAAGTGGGGTTGTTGTTATTTGCCACCGAGTTGGACCTGACTCATAGTGACCCCTCCTTGGATTTCCAAGGCAATATCACTGTGGAAGTAGATTGCCCAACATACTTTCCAAGGAGTGGCTGGTGAGTTTGAACTTCCAGCCTTCTGTTTAGCAGTCATGTGCCTTATATTTCCATTTCACAAGTAGAGAAACCCCGAGACCTGGAGAGAGGTGACCTGCCCTAACTCCCTCAGTGGATTAGAGCACTGGTCTCCAGCAGCCCCTGTTATCTTAACTCTAGATGGGAGTTGAGAGACTTAGGCTCTGTCCCCATCCCTTTGTGAGTTGTGTAATTCCCTGAGCCTCAGATGTGTCCTTTGTAGTATGAGGGGACTGGACTAGCTCTCCAAGTCCCTCTTTCTCTGACTTCAGAGGAGCACCCCAGAAGACCTGGAGTAAAGGAGCTCCCAGCCTTCCATGTGTACAGGTTCCAAACCTGGGAGTTGGTTCTAGTGCCTCTCTCTCACCACCCCTCATCCCCAATCCATCACCAAGTCCTGTGGTTTTGTTTCTGGAAAAGCCCTTGCATTCATCCACTACTTTCCTTCTCCACCACTAGCATCCTTGTTGAAGCCACCACCATTTCTACCTGAACTACAGCTCCCAACTGACCTTTTGAATATACTCTTTTTTTCAAGGGATCCAATTTCCACCCAATTGTCAGAGTGAACATAAAGCCAGTTGCTATTGAAACGATGGGTCTCTCCTCATCCAGAGCAAAGAAGAATGAAGAAAACCAAAGTTGCATGGAAACAATCAGTCCAAGGGACTGGTAGACCATGCCATCCTCAGCCTATATGAGCATGACACCAGAAGAACTAGATGGTGCCTGGCTACTACTTTCAACCACTCAGAGGGGGATCTATGTAGGAGATGCTGGATAGAGAGGGAGAACAATGTGGAAGAAAACTAAAAAATTTATATATATACATACCGGGCTTGCTTGTCTGATAGAGTCTGGTGAAACCCCTGAGATTACGGCCCCTAGCTGCCCTTCAGGTCTGGAATTGAACCCACTCCTATGGCTTCCAGCCAAACAAAAGACAGGTATATAAACATTTACATTGGATAGATACACTCCTTGGAGAGATCAATCATGGGAGAATAAAAGGGCTGTGTATGCACAGGGTGACAACTTAGGGGGCAGGAGGGCATGGGAGGGAAGGACACAGGGAAAAGGTAACTATGGGGAGGAAGTGGGAGGGGAGCAGCTGCATTGTGGGGAACTGCAGTCAATGTCATGAGACAAAATATGTATGAACTGGTGTAGGGAAAATGAAATTACTCTGCAAACTTTCACCCAAAGCACAATAAATTTTTTTTTTTTTTAAAAAGCCAGTTGCCATAAATAGACTACCAAGTATAATTCAAAATGCACAAACAGCAGAAGAGAAACCAGATGATTGGGACCTTCTAAAGATTAAATTTTTATGTGCTTCCAAAGACTTCTCCAAAAGTGTCAAAAGAGAACCTACAGATTGGGAAAAAATATTTGGTAATAACATATCTGACAAGGGAATTATCTCTAGGATCTATAGA